CTTGAAATTTACTTCCATAGGTGTATTACAAGGTTTGCAATTTTGTAATTCAAAATGTTTCAAAACTCCTTTTAGGTATGTTGTTTGGTTTATGGTAATTTTATTTTCACACAAATTTTGTGTTATTAACATTCCTAAAAAGTGTCTGACACACCCCAAATCTTTCATTTTAAAGGTCTGGTTCAAGACCTGTTTAATTTTATCAATTTCTGCTTTATCTGAGCCAGCAAGCAAAAGATCATCCACATAAATTAATATGAAGACTCTGGAAACTTCATTTACTTTGGTATAAATGCAATATTCACTTTCTGATCTTTCAAATTTCAAGGATAACATTAAATCATTAAATTTCTTATACCAATTTTTAGGAGAGGATTTCAACCCATACAAGGATTTGTTAAGCTTTGCAATTTTTCCTTCATACTGATCAAAACCCTGTGGTAACAATACATAAACCTCATCATTTACATCTCCATTTAGGAAAGCGCTACACACATCTAACTGATAAACTTCATAATTGAAATTATTGCATAAAGCTAAAAAAATTCTTACTGAAGGAAGTTTGGCCACTGGACTATAATTGTCACTGTTATAAATACCTGTTTGTTGAAATCCTCTGGCTACTAACCTTGCTTTATATTTTTGTACATTACCCATTTCATCTCTTTTCTTTTTATATACCCATTTACATTCTATGACAGATTTGTCAAACTTGGAAACATTTTCACTCATGATAGTCCAAGTTTTATTTTCATTCAATGCACTGATTTCAACTCCCATGGCTTCTTTCCACTGAGCAGATTCACTGCTTGTCATTGCATCATCATAGGAAATAGGTTCATCATCATATTCGCTTGTAGTTAACAGAATTTTATCCACATCCATTTCAAATTCATCATATTTTTTAGTTTGCTTCCTTTCTCTTCTTAGGTTATACCTTGAATTTACTATTTCATCATTTACTTCTGAGTCTACTGAGGAGTCCACATCCTCATACTCTGAAATTTCATCTGTATTTTCATCTGTGTCATTTAAATTTTCATTAACTTCCTCATTCTGAGCTACCTCCATGTCAGAGGAATTTTCAGTGATCTCCTCTTCAAGGATCACTATCTCATCAACTTTTTCTGATAGTTGATTCTTTTCAGGCAGAAAAATAATGTCTTTGTGTATCTCCACTTTATTCTTTGATGGTACATAAACTCTGTATCCTTTCACTTCTTCTCCATACCCTAGAAAAATTCCTTGTTTATTTTTTGGATCCCACTTCAGTCTGGTTTCTTTTGGTACATGTATTGACACTCTGTTTCCAAAGATTTGCAAATTTGGCATTTTTGCAACCTTCTTATACCAAAGTTCATAAGGTGTCTTGAATTTGATAGGACTTGGCCCAGTTCTGTTTAGAATATAAGAAGCTGTATTTAATGCTTCTGCCCAGAATATTTTGTCCATTTTTTCTTGTCCGTTCAACATGGTTCTACCAGCCTCCACTAGAGTTCTGTTTTCCCTCTCAGCTCTGCCATTCTGTTGTGGAGTATACACCACTGTTCTTTGGTGACGTATACCTTTGCTCTCCAACATCTCTCTGATCTCTCTATTCACAAATTCAAGTCCATTATCTGTTCTGAGTATTTTCATATTACATCCAGTTTCTCGTTCTGCTAGGGATATGTATTTTTCAATATTTTTCTTTACTTCAGATTTGTGCTTTAAGAAGTAAATATATCTATAGGATGAGTAATCATCTTTCAATAGCAAAAAGTATTTTGCACCTCCTAATGACTCAGTTTCCATAGGCCCACAAACATCTGCATGAACAAGTTCTAATGGTGCTGTAGCTCTGGAATTACTATTTTCAAAAACTAACTTGTGCTGTTTGCCAGACAAGCATGATTCACACACAAAGTCTTTTCCAGTATCCACAAAATCTATTTTATTTTGCTTTAGGAAATCTCTGACAAATTTAACATTTTGATGGACTAATTTGCAATGCCACTCTTTCAAATGTTCTACTGTTTTTACTCTCATGCACTCAGGAATTGAATCCACCTCAAAATCATTGATCTCTGAAAAACAGTTTTTATTTTCAACTGAGGAGTTTTGTTCAGAAAAACATGCTAGAGCACTAAAATTATTTGAAATCTCTGGTGTGAGAAGCATTTTATATAATTTATTTTCTCTTGTTGCTAGTGCTCTGATATTGCCATTTTTATCCACAAATTTGCACTTTTTATCATCTGACATCATAAAATATCCCTTGTCAAGAGCACATCCAGCAGAGAATAAATTGAATTTTAAGTCTGGTACATACAACACATCTGAAAGTGTGGTTTTTATCATTTTTTCTCCATTATAGGCCCATATATTTATTTGTCCAATTCCTGCCACTTCCAATTTTTGACCATTTCCAATTTGCACCATTTTTCTTGTTTTTATTTTTTTAATGTCTTTAAACAGATTTTTGTTCCAGGACATGTGTTCACTTGCTCCTGAATCCAAACACCAGTCATTTGAATTTAAGCTGTCTGAGTTCACCATGAATGCATTTGATTCTTTGTCTTCTTCTGTTTCAGTTTTGGTACTATTTCCTTTACCTCTTTTGAACCAGCAGACCTGCACACTGTGACCAGACCTTTTACAGTGATTGCAGTATTTTGAACTTGTTTTTGAGCCTTGTTGCTGTGGTTCTTTGCTTTCCTTGGACTCTTCATTTTTGTTTTTATGCCTAAAGAAACAATTTCTTGCTAGATGTCCACTTTTCGCACAGATATGGCATCGTAATCTTGCTTGTCCAGAGTTGTGGCCCTTGTAATAACTTCTCTTAGCTGCTAATGCAGTTGTAGTTTCTGAGTTTGATGACCTCTCTTCTTCCAACAACAACCTTGATGTTAACTCTTCAAGAGTTTGCTTATCCACTGGGACTGACTCCCAGGCAGATCGAAAATGCTTATATTGATCTGGTAATGCCATCAATATTTTAGTCATTATCATTTTTTCTGACAGTGTTTCACCTGCAGCTCTCAGCTTAGTTTTGATCCCTTCTATTTTGGATATGAATGTGCTCACAGAACTGTCAAATTCCAGCATGAAAAACCTCTGCTGAAGGAGATGAATGCTTACAACTGACTCTTTATCATATACTGCCTTAAGTTTTGCCCACATATCTTTGGAGCTATCACATGATAAGATATGAGTTAATGGCCCTTGGTCCATTCTGGTTACGATTAATTCTTGAGCTTTTGCGTCGTCTTGGATCCACTTTCTCAAATCATCACCTGGGGTTGGTCTAACTCTGCTGCCATCCACTATCTCAAACAGACCTCGTCCCTTTAATATTATGGTTGTTTGAAACTTCCACACTGGCCAGTTATCACCAGTGAGTTTTAAAATGGAGTTGATTTCGGTCATTTTGTACTTTTTACTTTTTGGTTTTAGGCGTGGTCGCTCCTAACCTCAAAACTTTGAATCCTGATTTTTACCCTTTACGCACTGCCTGGGCCCATAACCTCTTGTTTTTTATTGTGGATATATCAGAAATAGGCACAATCAGGATAATATTTAAGAGATTAGTTTTATTGTTCCTTTTATAATTTCAACATGAACATTTTTCTTACACGCTATTTTTACATAATATTTGACAGTGACAGTTTTTGATTAATGTGTCTTGTCAACTTCATGTTTGTAACACAGAACACAGAAAACGACTGAACAGTGTTGCCAACCTAAATGAAACATATTCATATTTACCATTGCAATGCTAACAAGTATCAATCTCTAACAAATATAATGTACAGATAGGCGAATTTCGATTCCAGGATTCAACTCTTCCTATTAGAAATGGAAGCGTGAAAGACCGAATCATTCTCCCATCTCCTAGGTATTGTTCGTTTTTCATTTTGGCAGAGCTTGTTTACCAACGAAATTCGCCTAACTATCTGTACATTATATTAACATTATTAAATTCATATATCTGATATTATTATTGGATTTCTAATGTTCACCCTGTATATGAATACTTAACTTAGTTTCGTCTCCACATTCTCACGTTTCACTATTTGTGAAAAATATCGGCCACTATGCGAATGTAAGTGAACAAGTCTCTTCAACTCTTCATGCAAATGGTAAGTTCCTGAATAAATAACTATGACACCCGTCATGATACGGAACTGAATTTTCAAGACAGCGTTGAGGAGCGAATGATGAATATATTAAAAAATAATTAGGGAATTTCACCGAGTTAATCATGAATAACAGGGTGATTTCAAAAAACACGATTTTTTGTCATTTTCATCATCGAAAATCTTCATGATCACCCTAAATATCTCAACGAAATCATGTTCATACGGTATCAGCTATCTTGGGAGGTTAACAATTCACTCGAATATACAGGATGTGTATAAATAAATCGGTCTTAGGTGTCACCAATTTTTCAAATCACCCTGTATGAAATGTATGAATTGTGATTCATGATGGAATGAGAATAGTATATTGCATGCCTAAATTATTTTTTCGATATTTCATTATTACATCGAATTTTCAGACATCACTGAAATGTTTATATGTTTCACTCTGTAAACAATTACATTATCTGAACCATCTGAATTATGTTGAGTAATATGGAGGTTCGTTATTGATATGAGCGAAGAAAATTGTACTTGGCATCATTGAATTTCGAGAAAATGATTAAATGAAAAATACGGATTTGTAACTTCAACGCCCTGTATCTCAGAATCTGTTCATCAAAGAACTTCACGATTCTGCAGGTTCAATCAGTTCATCGAATTCTACAACATACTGAAAATTCAGAAAATTTCACCGAGAACCATTTTACGTACTAAAAGTGCGGGGTCCTTTCGCAACACAAAAATGCCACTTTTTAAACGCTTTGAAAGAAACTCTATATGGGTGTCCCACCGAAGACCAGTGTCAAGATGCACCCCCAAGAATTTTGTTGCCTCACGGGAGAGTGTGCAGTCCGTAGGTACTTGAAAACTACGTACCTTTGAACAGCGCCATGGGCCCCTCATGCCTCACGATATGCCTCAGACACTGCACAATACTCAACGACTGCCCGGGCACCGAAGTGCACCCGGAAAGGGCGACCACCTGAGGCCGCCCGTTGTGGCACGTGGTCCATAGGCGGCGCCGCTGGGGGGGTACGGTGCGGCACGTGGTGCGAGGCACGGGGCTCTCGCCGGGCACGGGGGGACACACGAAGCCGCTTTTGGAAGACTGCAGGCGGGTCTTCACCACTTCCAGGGGGCAGGTCACGATGGCGCCGGTCGTTCCGGCAACACTGCAATGCGAATTTGGAACTTCAGGAAAAATAGGTACGCTCCTGGGCTCGCAATTTTCCTGGTGTCGAAGAGATTACAATATTTAATATTGACCCTCTTATAAAATGACTGGGTACGACGCTGGATTCTTAATCTGTTGTAACAACGAAGAAATTGCCGTTTTCATTTTCAACGCTTCAGGAAATAAATAGGTACGTCCCTGGAGTCGCAATTTTACTGGTGTCAAAAAAATTTTAATATACTCTTTTCAATCCCTTGAGAATATAGCTGGTGTCAAAAATATTGCAATATTTATATTTGACCTCTTCAGGAAATAGCTGAAGTACAATTATTTTGAGGTGTTGAATGAATAGCAATTTTCTTCCATTGGAAAAATGGGAACGCCACTGGATTTATGATTCCTTTATGGTTTCAGAAAAAAATACGACATTTGATTCGACCTCCATAGACGGCGCTGCTGGGGGGGCACGAAGCCGCTTCTGGATGATTCAAGGCGCGTCATCACCACCCCCAAGAGACAGGATACGATAGCGCCGGTCGTTCCGGCAACACTGCAATGCGAATTTGGAATTTTTATTTTTGAACCCCTGAGAAAAAATTGGTACGCCCATGTGTAAACAATTTTAATTTATGAGGAGAGTATCCCTTCAAAAAATAACTAGATACGCTCCTGGATTCGTGAATTGACATGATGGAAAAATAACAATATTCATTTTTGACTTCAGAATAAATAGGTACGCTCCTGGGCTCGCAATTTTCCTGGTCTCGAAGAGATTGCACTATTTAACATTGGCCCTCTTGTAAAATTACTGGGTACGCCGTTGGATTCACAATAAGTTGAAACAACGAAGAAATTAACGTTTTTATTTTTGACGCTTCAGAAAATGAACAGGTACGCCCCTGGACTCGCAATTTTACTGGTGTCGGAAGAATTGCAATATGCCATTTTTGATCCCTTGAGAAAATAACAGAGTACGCCCCAGGATTCGTAATTAATTGGTCTGACGAAGAAATTATAATTTTAATTTCAATCCTTATATTTTTCTGGTGTCAAAAAAATTGCAATATTTATATTCGACCCCTTCAGAAAATATCTGGGAACACCCATGAAGTCGAATTATTTTGTGGTGTTAATAAATAGCAATACTCTCGCATTCGAACAATGAGAACGCCACTGGATTTATGATTCCTTTATGGTTTCAGAAAAAAATGCGATATTTGATTCGACCTCCATAGACGGCGCTGCTGGGGGGGCACGAAGCCGCTTCTGGATGATTCAAGGCGCGTCATCACCACCCCCAAGAGACAGGATACGATAGCGCCGGTCGTTCCGGCAACACTGCAATGCGAATTTGGAATTTTTATTTTTTTGACCCCCTAAGAAAAAAATGGTACGCCCATGGGTAGGCCGATTTTATTTTTTGAGGAAAGTAGCAATACTTTATTCATGATCCCTTCCCTTTGGAAATCAACTTAGTACGCAATTTATTGAGCTGGCGAAGATAATAAGATTTTGATTTTTGAATCCTTCAAAAAATAACTAGATACGCTCCTGGATTCAATTGACCAATTCAGAAAGAATAATAAATAATATTATAGGTACGATCTTGGGCTCGCAATTTTCCTGGTGGCGAAGAAATTACAATATTTAATATTGGAACTCTTATAAAATAACTGGTTTCACAATCTGTTGTAACAACGAAGAAATAACCGTTTTTATTTTTGACGCTTCAGAAAATAATTAGGTACCCCTGGGGTCGCAATTTTACTGGTGTCGAAAAAATTTGAATATTCCATTTTTGATCCCATGAGAAAATAACCAGGTACGCCTTAGGAATCGTAATTAATTGTGCTGACGGAGAAATTATAATTTCAATTGTAATCCTTAAAATTTTTCTGGTGTCCACAATAATGCAATATTCATATTTGACCCATTCAGAAAATTACTGGGAACACCCATGAAGTCGAATTATTTTGTGGTGTTGAATAAATAGCAATTTTCATGCATTGGGAAAATGGGAACGCCACTGGATTTATGATTACTTTATGGTTTCGGAAAAAAATTAAATATTCAATTCCACCTCCATAGACGGCGTCGCTAAGGGGCAATGCAAATTTGGAATATTTGTTTTCAACACCCCCAGAAAAAAAACATTGGTACGCCCATGGGTAGGTAATTTCATTCTTTTAGAAAAGTAGCAATATTTTATTCATGTTCCCTGTCAAAAACAACTGAGTACGCAATTTATGTATCATGCTGCTGAAGATAATACGATTTTTACTCGGATTTTTATTTTTGGCCCCTTCTGGAAAAAACGCCCCTGGGCTCGCAATTTCCCTGGTGTCGAAGAAACTGCAACATTTATTTTTGAGTCCTTCAAAAAATAACGATATGATGGGAAAATTACAATTCTCATTTTTGACCTCTTCAGAAAAAATAGGTACGCTCTTGGGCTCGCAATTTTCCTGGTGTCGAAGAAATTGCAATATTTAATATTGACCCTCTTATAAAATAACTGTGTAAGCCGCTGGACTCTCGATTTAACTGGTGTTGAAAAAATTCAAATATTGAATTTTTGATCCCTTGAGGAAATAACCGGGTACGCCCCAGGAATCGTAATTGATTGTGCTGACGGAGAAATTATAATTCTAATTTTGATCCTTGTAATTTTTCTGGTTTCCAAAATAATGCAATATTTATATTCCTTCAGAAATAACTGGGAACACTTTATGGTTTCGGAAAAGCCGCTTCTGGAAAATTCAAGGCACGTCTTCACCACTCTCAAGGGACATGCCACGATAGCGCCGGTCGTTCCGGCAACACCACAATGCAAATTTGAAATTTTTATTTTTGACCCCCTCAGAAAAAAATATGATACGCCCATGGGTTAGCAATTTTAGTTTTAGAAAAAAATAGCAATATTTTATTTATGATCCCTTTGGAAAATAACTAGGTGCGCCACTAGATTCGCAACTCATTGTGCTGGGGAAGATGATTCTTATTTTAGATCCCTTTAGAGAATATTAATGAGTAGGCCCTGGTTTCGAACTTAGACCCCTTCGAAAAATAACTGGAAACGTTCCTAGATCCGAGAATTGGTGTGATGTATTCCCTTCACATTGCTTGTATTCCCAAAATATTGCTGGGATTGCCTGAACATTTCTTGTATTTTCTGATGAATGCCCTTGTGAATGCCTGTATTTCCAGAAAGGAATTTCCTAAAAATTTCCTTCCAGATTCCCTTCATATTATCTGTATTTCTGAGGTATTTCTTGTATGGCCAATGTATTTCTTGTATTTCCAAAATATTGCATGTATTGTCTGAATATTTCTGGTATTTACTGATAATTGCCAGGATTTCCAGCAAAATGTACAGGTGTTTGGCATACCCTAATTATTACAAATATTGTAGTATTAACATACACATTATGTATCATTATTTCTTGCATTATATTTAGGAAAATGTTTAGGTATGTTCCATGATATAGTATAGTAAAGTAGTATACTAATATAATGGTGATAGATAGATAGGTATAGTCTTTCAGCTAGTAAGGTCTCGTTGAACAGATTGGCAGTGCTCAGCATATGATATTTGCTGAAGCAATGGAAAGACTATACCTCCATAGGCACTCAATTGAAATAATACATACCTACTCAACTAGGTATTCCGAGAGGTATTCACCCTTGTATTCACCTCATAAGGTGAGTAGTAAGTACCTAGTTTGAATTTTATCATATTATTTTCAAATCTATACCTCATCATAGGTAATCATGTTTGTCAATGTCAAGGTCTTGAGAGTAATAATAGTTCTCCACCTCATAATAGTTTCATAACAATATCAGTATTTTTTTTCAATATTTGTCTAATATACCTAATTATTGAAATTGACCATAATCATGGTAATATCAACAATAGGAAATAACTCATTATCTTTTAATATAAAAATAGCAGTTTATTTTTAGCTGTGGATGAAAATAAATGAATTGCAGATGCCAAAATAGCTATTTAGATCTCTTCTAAATCGATTTCAGCAATATTCCAATATGGAATGCAATTGGATAAAATTACATAATATCAAAAAGGTATAGCACTACTCTACTACTCATTTGATATCAAATATACCTACACAACAAAGATTAAATTTAAATTATTAGAATGTGATGGTGTTTAAAGAAAGTTGTTATTATTGTTATCATCTTGTATTACTTACCCCCCTGCGACTAGATGAATGATGGAATCTCTCTGACTTTGACTCATGACATGAAATCACATGATTTAAGTAACTAACAATATATTTTGTGATTGTCAACTATTATTTACGACGGCGATAAACAAACAACTTGACTTAGAACATAATGTTGTTATTTTTAAAACGCACTTTCGAAATTTGCATTTAGAAAAAGGATATTTTAAGTAGGTACTTGAAGGGTGTTTATTTGAATTTCTGGCATCCGATACAGTAAGCAGTTGACTACGTGACAAACTCCTCGTAAATTCAGTCACTTTTTTCCTTCTTCGATGATTGGAAGTAAGGGCGATTTTCCCTTGAAATAAATTCAAACAAAACTTGATCCACTGATGTGCACCATGCGTCGGTCACGTGCTATTGTTTACCCGGTATATATTTAGCACTTAGTTAACAAATTCTAAACTAAACAAATACTTCAATAAGAACACACAAGCTCGCATTAATGACATACACTATACAATAAATTCACATATCGCTCGCTCAATGAACAGTAAGCAAAACAAATGATATTTAAAACAAAAACATATCAAATGCGCACTTGTTTATGGATTATAGCAATCGCAACTTATGAGTTGGCTTGACACCATGGAACCGGTTTAATATTGTGCGATTTTGACCCTAACTCTGTATTCTGTCATTGATTATCACAAACAAACTATTAATGCATTGATATTTTTTTCATACGAAGCTGAGTTTTCTGATTTGGATTGTTATTGTTAGAAATATGATCGAATAACCCGAACGACTTTCAAACTGACATGCTCTTTAGCTCTCTTTATTTACACTTCCACTTTTTTGAGTGACGACTGACGAGTGACATTGACATTTGTCAGACTTTTGACAACTCGTTTTTGTTGGCAATGCATACAACTACGATATCCGTATATTTAGTGAACATACCCATTGGCATGTTGACTTGCACAAATCAAGACGATCTACCCTGAATAACTTCTCATGTCTCATGTCATCAATAATTCAATAGTGATATTCTTTCGTTCTGACCTGAGACATTCCATTTGATCTGAACTGAATCAGTTAAAATGCATTTTTTCCGAACGACGTTGATTAGGTAAGTATAATAATGCATGAAAACTGCTTCAGCTAGTACAGTTCAAGTGAAATGTCTCAGGTCAGAACGAAAGAATATCACTACCCAGTCAACACACGGACATTCGATGGACATCCATTGGACGTCCATTTAGGATATTTGGGATATCCAGAGAATATCCAGTGATATCCGATGTATATCTTATGGACGTCCAATGGACGTGCCGAGTGGAAGGAGTTGGACTTCTATAGGATATCCTTCAGGGACATCCATAAGACATTTTTCAGGGATATCCATAAGATATTGTTCACAAATATCCATAAGACATTTTTCAGGGATATCCATAAGATATTGTTCACAAATATCCATGAGATATTTTTCAGGGATATTTACTAATTATTCTTAACAATATAGAACACCATGTATATTATTCCATAATGAATTAGGAACTATTATAACGAATTCAACGGTACCGGATTGGATAGGGTTATTTCAAACGATTACGAAGATATTTGCATTCGAAGTTTTCATATGCTCATTGAGGATATGGAAATGTGAATATCTTCCTAATCGTTTGTAGAAATCCTATCAAACACAGTATCCTTGAATTCGTTATGATAATCCTTAACCGATTATGGAATAAAATACAGGGTGTCCCGTTTGAAAATGCCATCCTCGGTTAAAGTGCCAGTTATGAAGCAAACATGTAGGTACATACAACACAAATAAATAGTTGATCTTTGTGACATTTATTTGAAAAGTACAACTACCAAGGACAGGTTTGACATTTCCAGAAAAGAAGTTGCTCGTCCACCCTGTTTGTGATAGGAAAATTGAGAATATTCATTATGTTTCATATAACTGGTCTCTTCATTTTTTCTTAAAACAGGGCATCTCATCTATAGGAATACTGATTGTATTAGTCCCTCTGTTGATTGCTTTTTGTGTCAACCAAGCATATTTATATCTCTGGAAAATCCCACATTCTTCCTGAAAACAATGATATAGAGTTGAGTTTCAGGAGTTTACCAATATCATTATTAGGGAGAGTTCTTCTTACCTGACACACACAGTGGACTGTAAACATAAAGAGGCATAATACTTATTATACTTCAATGCAATCATTTGCATCCATTTGACCAGCCAAAACCAGGTGGCCCGCATTTATGAGCTTAGCTTCATTTTGGAGACACTGAATCACTGAAAAAGGATATACAGATTGAAATGCACAGGCTAAATGGCCAAATCATAAGAATTCTTGTTCAATAATGATAAAAACTTACAGCTTATGTTGGTATAGGTTTTAGGTTCAACATTCCAACTAGAGGTAGGTAGGTGTTCTACTGTTAAACATCAGAGATATTATTGTCCTCAATCAAAACACAATGAACCACTGGAAAACACGGATTTAAAAAATACACAAATATCAAAGCTGAGAATGATTGAGAACTCAAAACGAAATTAACATAAACACACCTCTCAATAAACACCATCACCAAAACCAAACAATGTAAAATATAAACAATCAAATAGTACTGGCTTTCGCCGTTCTGGCTCTGGCGCTACGATCTCTCTTTCGTTTGACATGGCGGTATTTTCAAATCATCCCACCCGATTTATAAAATAACTTACTCTGAACAATCTATATAACCTCTATGTATTACGGTGAAGTTATAAAAATTATGAAATTGAAAATATTCTATTAGCCTGAATCAATATGATCATACCTATATTTCTTATTAAAAGTTTAACGCATATTATGAGAATAGAACCATAACTAGGTGTGGAATTCAGGAATTCTGAGAGTGGAGAACGTTCAGATATGACACACTAAAAGTCATTATGATTAATACTTATTATAATATACCAAATATCATTATTGCTTATTTGTATTATTACGATGTCTTTAAGACGTATTCAGGACGTGAGAATCAGATATCTTTAAAACGTCTGAATGATGACATCTTGTAGACGTCTTATTCAGGGAGTAAGACGTACAGACTAAAGTGACTAAGATAGGATATAATTCAGACATCTTAAAGACGTCTTGTGCTATCTGGGTAAGATATCTTCTGATGGATATCCGCTATAAATCCATGGATGAATATCTCATGGATGTCCATCTGAAGACCACAAAAAAGTAAATATATGAGAGCTATTTTCGAGTGATTGTATATTTTTGTACGAAAACATTGAACAACAGAGAAAAATTCCAAACTGTGGTGTTGTTATTTATATGAATTCATATTTGCATCGGATATATCTTAATTGTGGCTATAAACATATTATACCTACATAACAATAGTTATATGATGGAAAACTACCTTTGAATTTCTAATAAACATGTGATCTGCATGTGATATTTGTGATGATTCGTATTGTTTTGAACCATTCTCAATTAACAATTTTTGTTCGCTGAACGAACATCTTATGGACGTCCATAGGTGATCCGCATCAGAATATCCATTTGATATCCTCTGACGGATATCCTATGGATATCCATTTCATGTCCCAGGATATCCCGACCTAAAATGGACTTGAGAAGGATATCCATAGGATATCCTGTGTTATCTGGGTAATGATACACAATAATTGTTATACGTGAATTTTTAGTTTCAACATGAATTAAATGATCTATGGTAAAAGTCTCTGGTATCTCAAAGTGGAGTGAATAGATTCATAAACAAGACACACCAAGTCATCTCCACAAATTTATTGACTGAATAATCAGTGTCTGAACATGTTTCGGACTATCATAGTCCATCATCAGCAGAAACATATTTTGAATGAAAATTTCTACAAAGAACAGTTTTTTATATAGTTACAAATGTTATACCTTAGGTTATGTCTCAAATCTTGACAAATAGGAGATTAATACAAGAAAAAACATCATCACATTAATATTGAATTTTTGTTTGTTTTGTTTTGTTCTAAAATTTGTTCTATCCGTCATTCGGTTGCCCCCTTACCAGCAACCCTCAAAAGTCTTCGAAAGTCTTGTGCGAGCAAGGAATGACGGGGGCCTTACCTTTTAACGTGTGATCCCAAACACTTTCTTGGGCCATCAGAAAAATTTCTGCAGTCGACGGGGATCGAACCCACGACCGGCAAGGGAATGCGAATTAAAATATAGACACTCTGTCCGCACGGCTACCTGGCCACCCAATATTGGAATATTTTTTTGATTCGAATATCATTCAGCTGCTGCTATATGGAACGGGTTGATTTCTTCGTGTATCTTCTCGTTATATCAAGGGTGAACATGGAATTCGAATGACGGTATTTTGTAATTGAAATAGGACATTTCTCGATTTCTCATTTCTCGATATCCTTTCCTATGAAATTATTGGATATCATTATTTTCTTGAACCATAATAGCTGGAACACATTGCATAATCAGAGATAATTTGGTAACTTATCTCTGGCATAATTGTTGACCAGTAGCAACAATATTGATGAATACTTCTAGTACTGACTTATCCTATGAAGCTCAAAGAGCATATTATTCATCAGGAGAAAAGAAATCGAGATTGAGATTACAGCGGCCTCCAGCGCCAAAACTAGCCATTAGAACAGTTTGGTATTTGGACATTTTGTTCAGGATGTCTTGAACTATAACATGACAAAAATTCAGCCAATTCGACAGAAGGCCTATTTTCCCTATAAAATGTGCGGTGTCCTTTGCTGTGAAACCGTAGGAGGCATATGATCGCGCGTTTCTAGTCATAAGATATTCAGATTATGAGTTCTGTGGGTTGTATACGCACTATATACTATTCGAATTTACGCCGCACATACCTTATTCCATAAATGATCATTCTGAGTAGGTATAAATAGTATTTGATGCAATCACTCATCGTTAATTGAAATCATCACAAATACTTTCATCAGTTATTTGATATACCTATTCCTCTTTATGCCTCTACAACCAATGAGAGTATAAATAACCACATATATTTCGTCGTTGCTGAATTTGATACTAGTGTGAAATTATACCTTATATGAGTCTCAATATGACTATGCTCCTATTCCTATTCTTCAGTTATGTGTTGTGTTCTCTGTTATCTGCAGTAATTATTCGGTCCAGAATATTCATTTCATATTCTGTTAAAAATGACAGTCAGACTTGTTGCACAGAAATATAGAGAATGGATATCTAGGTCAAATCATAAACAGGATGTTTCTTAAGTATACATCTGAATAATTCAGAAGCATGTTGCTGACGTCGAAATGAAGAGAAGTTCGTATAGTTTATCCAAAAACAATTGCAGAATCTTGTGCCGCACCTGCAGTCACTTCAAAGAAAACTTCAAACACGCCGACGCCGCACAGTGCGGGATATTCTGCAGTTGATATTAGATAATTATACTTCACAAACATGTTCAGTTATTCGTTTCATGAGACACAGAGTGTCAAATTTATTGATTGTTATTTCGGTTATATGTAAATAAACTACAAAACTCCTGGTCAGACACCAAATTTCACTCGAATATCATTTTTTTTTATTTATTCACAAAAAAAATAAAAAAAAAGAATCAAACTTCGAATCTCTGTATCTCAGAAATAAATAACTTGCGGACATATTGTATTGGATCATTCAAAGTAGGTTATGTAACGCGTTTTCTCACGTTTTCCATGTTATGAAATATCCTGAGTTTCAATGATTATCTGAAAAATGTATAGAGCTCTAAAAAAATGGTTTGCGACAGTGATAGCTTGAAAGAAACGTTATTTAGATTTTCAATACCTATACTTGAGGTCCTATCTGGAACTGACGATAACAATTCCGATTTGTGAAAGCTCCTATTGCTGTCACAACATAACAGAACTCCAGCTATAGCAGTGCCAAATATTCATTATCCAGGTTATCACCCATTGCATAGTAGAATTGGAATATCTTGAATAGATTGATCCTCGTGCTTTGAAACAATGCTAATTCCAAAAATGATACTCGATAGTCCGAAAAAAATTAACAAAAAAATTAATATGACAATATTAAGCAATACCAATCAGACGAACTAGACAAGCCCAGTCAGCACATCCTTTCGTTGTCAACCTCGAAAGATGTCGAACAGCACTTTATCAAGACTCCTTCATCCATAGAACGGCTAGGCTCTGGAATTCATTGCCTGTGGAAGTATTCCCAAGAACATATTATAATCTCCAAAAATTCAAAAAAAATTCCAATACCTACCTCCTGTCCCTATCCTCCCTAGGAACGCACGATGTTCTTTGAACATTATAGGGATTCCCTTTCGTGCGCTCCAATCGATAAAAAAAAAAAAAAAAAAAATTGGCGAGTGTCAAATTCAGGAAAATATATAAATGCAAAATGCATTTCATCGTCTCATGTAACTATGGCAGAACCTCGTTAAGAGATGCGTTATGGTATCTATAAATCAGGGGTTTAATCTGTGTCGGGCTGTCCGCACTGAGATGCTTGTCCGATGTCCGCACCATGCACAGCTTCTGATGTCATCTGTACGTATCAGTATCAGGAAGATATATGATAAAGTCCTAATCGAGATATCAAAAGTATACTGATTGAATTTGAATTGTGCAATTCGACTTCATATACCACTTATACCAGTCAGTTCTGTCATAGTATGAGAAACATAACAGTCCCTCTTGTTACAGACACGACTACCGTGATTCTATAAATCTCCCGAACGAAACGACGATCGTAGCTTTATGAACGGTCGTTTTCAGATGATACGATGACATTTCACTGAGCCAAAACAATAACAAATGTTTGTCTGAATTTTTGAATTTTATCAATTTTATCTTGTTTTTCTTAATATTCTTATCTTGCTAACTAATTATAAAGATCTCAAACCCTCTCAGTCCTTTGTAAAAGAATAATTGATCATTAATTGTATGAAAAATGAGCTTAAAGCTAAGTGAAATCAGTTGTGTTCAATGGTTTGAAGATATTGAAAAGCATAGATGCGGATACTGCAATCAGGAGAATACTAGTATATCCAATGGTAAGAAAAATATAGTTTTTTTTTTATATAGAACATGACATAAATCATCTGAGTCCATCCATCTTACAGTGGAGTGAAGACTGGATTGAATACTTGAGTGAAGATAATAGGACAGGGAGAAAATCTTACATTCAGCTGCATGAAAACTATACTTTTTTACATTTGGGGGACATGTTTTGCTATAGGAAGTACCTACTCTTCTATGGGGAAATTTGTTCACATGTTGAAAACCAAAATTTGAAAAATTACATATAAGGTGTTCCCCAGGGTGTTCCAGAACAACATACTATAGTCTGCAATTTTGCACTCATCATGTGATGTGTTTTTTTTGGAAAACCTTTTTTGGTTTATGTATTTTTGTCTGAAAAACATGAATTTGATAATGAAAATGTAAACAAACCCCTATTTATCCAGATATTTCATGAAAAAGTTCGAAATTTTGCCTTCTTTTTCTCCTTGGGATGCTTTTACATGTACTTATATGATTATGATTTTTATAGTGAGTTTTTCATATTTAGTGAACAAGCATACCACATGACCCCCATTAACATTCAATCAATAGTCAATCCAAATACCAGATGTCAAATGTCAACAGAGTGCTTTTGAATGACATTACACACACCATTATTTAAAATTATATTCCTCCTTCTTCTCACTAAACATGAATAAATCACAAGAAAATCATATTTCTAGTTGACTCATATTATAAAAAGAAAGTGTCCTACATTGGGGATATACCTCGGGATATACAGGTTGGACCATTTTAATCTATTATGGATAATAGTTCTTCCTGGAAGCTGCCAACAAAAAAATGATTCCAACCTCGATTCTAACAAAAGTTGAAGCATTTAATGGGGGCCAAAGAATGACCCTACTCACCCCCTCCCCCTCCAGGGCCCCCATACGGCCCTGGGAGATGAAATGTTTTTTTTCTATGGGAACCCTATTTTTTCACAACGGATTCTTGTTCTACAGAGAAAAACAAATTAAAAATGTGTTGCAAATTCTTTTTTGGGCCCCTTAAAGGGCCACAAATTCTCAATTTTGGTATTTGAGTTGCAATAAATTTTAGTCTCAGGTCAAACCTATGATTTAAATATGATAACATAAGTGCAGTTCCAGCATATTACCGTGTTTTGAAGCAAACCCTCAATCTGGTTAACGAATTACATGCCAATAATGAAGATTCTTTGTTTTCTTCAACTCAAATACCAAAATTACAAATTTAGGGCCCTTTAAGGGGCCCAAAAATGGATTTGCTAGAGACATTTTTTATTTGTTTTTCTCTGTAGAATAAGAATCTGTTGTGAAAAAATTGGGTTCCCATTGAAAAAAAACCATTTCATCTCCCAGGGCCGTATGGGGGCCCTGAGGGGGGTTGTGAGTAGGGTCATTCTTTGGGCCCCATTGAATCCTTCTGGAACCATTTTTTTGTTAGCGACTTCCGGGAAGAACTTTTATCCATAAAATGGTCCACCCTGTATATAAATTGTCCAATGATGGAAAAAAAGGCAAACTGTTCTAAATGCAATCCAGAAGACAGGCGGAAAAGAAGGTGACATTTGTAGCTTCATAGTGAAATATCTTGATAAATAATGGTTTGTCCACATTTTCATTATCAAATTCTTGTTTTTCAGACAAAAATACGTAAGTCCAAAAAAAAATTTCGAACAAAAAAAAATCACATGATAAGTGCAAAATTACCTCCATAGTCTATAGGGTGAACGTGAACAAGAGGCCAAAATAGGTTGATTGAAATCAACCTACCTCTATACGAAAATGCACCCAGAAGCCCTGAGAGGGCTCCTCCACTTTTATCAATGAGACTGTGAGATACCTAACTCCCTGTATATTGATTGAATTGATATGACATGTTTTCCATGCACATTCACATAGTGATTTGCCCCATGAATTTCAGAGCAGTACCATTTAAGGATTTTGAAATATTGTAGAAAATCTGGAAATAAAACTCAATAGAACTGCTCTTCATCATCCTCCCACAGCTGCACGTGTGCTTTTTCTTATAGAGGTGAGTTGATTCCAATGGACCTACTTTGGTTTCTACATAGTTCATTCTGTAGAATTTATGTTACATATTTCTGGGACACCTTGTATAAGTGAAACAAAAAAAATACAATGAAGATACCACAATTGAATGTGGATCACCTTTATCAGAAAATTAGAATAAACATGGTTGCAGTTGATGTACCTAGTTCTTCTTGTCCAAGCATGTAGCTTTGGCAGAAAATGGTGGAATTTTCTTGATTTTCAAACATAAATCCTCCACTATTTCTTGGACTATTTTCGAGATTTTCAACCATGTAATTCTAATCTTTTAACGAAGGCCCTTTCCTTGTAATTTTTTTTGTATGTAGTTTTTAAACTTTTGGTTTTCAACATGTGAACAATTTTTTTTTCCAGATTCCCAGAACAGTACTTCCTGTAATATAAAAATTGCGGATGATGAAGCTTTGAAGCTTCAAAACATGTCCCCCAAGTATTGAATAATAGTTATTTACCAAACATGTGCGGAAGTAGTACCTACTTTTCCGGACTTTTCCGCATGCGACGGGAGTTGCACGAACGACGCGTTTCTCATATTGGATCCGCCATCTTGAATTTCTCGATTTTGACGGAAGAATCATAATTTCTAACCCTTAAAAGCCCCAGATAACAGCTTTGAATAGAATCGGATCATAATCACAAAGCTTGTCTGCTACCTTGAATTTCCTCATTCTGGCGAAGGAATCATAATCTCCGATCCAGAAAACCCCCAGACCAATTTAATATAGAACCGGATCATATTTGATAAACTCGTTCGCCATATTGCATCTATCATCTAGAATTTCTCTTCTAGAATCGTCCGCCACATTGAAGCAGCCATCTTGAAATTTCAAATTTTGAGGAAAAAATAATCATAATCTCCGAACCACCCTCCAGATATCAATGTGGAACAGAATCGAATCATAATTACAACATTCTTCCGCCATATTGAATCAGCCATCTTGAATTTTCAAATTTTGAAGAAAAAATCATAATCTTCGACCACAAAATCCCTTGAATCAATTTTGAATAGAATTGGTCAATAATTACAGAACTCGTTCACTATATTGGATCCGCCATCTTGAATTTGTTAGTTTTGACGAAAAAATCATAATTTATATAACTCTTAAAACCCTCATATACCAACTTTAAATAGAATCGTATCATTCGTATCCTAATCACAAAGCTCGTCTGCCATCTTGAATATCCTCATTATGATGAAGGAATCATAATCTTCGTCCCAGAACACCTTCAGATACCAATTTCAAATAGAATCGGATCATATTTAATAAACTCGTTCGCCATATTGGATCTGCCATCTAGAATTTCCAAAATCTGACGAAAGAATCATAACCTCCGAACCCGACATCCTCCATATATCAATTTGGAACAGAATCGAATCATAATTACAACAATCGTCCGTCATATTGAATCATAGATCTTGAATTTTCAAATTTTGAGGAAAAAATCATAATCTACGACCACAAAATTCCTTGAACCAATTTTGAATAGAATCGGAAAATGATTACAAAACTCGTTCACCATATTGGATCCGCCATCTTGAATTGATAATTTTCTGAATTTTGACTAAGGAATCATTATCTCCGATCCCGAAAACCTACAAATATAAATTTTGAATAGAATCGGATCTTAATTAGAAAACTCTTTCACCTGGTTCACCATATTGTATCTACTATCTTGAATTTCTCAATTTTGACGAAATAATCATAATCTCCGACTCCATAAACCCTCAGATACCAATTTTGAATAGAATATCGGATCATAATTAATAAACTCGTTCGCCATATTGCAACTGCCACCTTGAATTTCTAAGATTTTACGAAACAATCGTAATCTCTGAAATGGTATAGTGCAGATACCAATTTTGAACAGAATCAGATCATAATTATAATAGTCGTGTGCAATATTGGATCTGCCATGCTGAATTTTCCAATTTTGAGGAAAGAATCTTAATCTCCGACCCCAAAAACCGTCAGATAGCAATCTCGAATTTGAAATAGAATCGGATCATAATTAAAAAACTCGTCCACTATATTGGATCCGCCATCTTGAATTACTTAATTTTTTCTTTCATAAGAACCTTCATCTGTCTTTAACAAACGCAACAAAAAAAGTTAGTGAAATCGGTCCAGCCGTTCACGCGTGATGGCGTGACCAAGGGAAATAGGGATTCATTTTTATATACAGGGTAATTCAAATCCGAGGGCCACCATTGGGATCTCGAAAACTATAGGCGATACGAAGATAGTTAAATTAGGGCGAAGTTGCGTATTTGTGTGATTGAAAATATACCGACGAGAAAATTTCTGAATTCCTTGTATTTGCAGAGATATACGAACGAAATAAAAATGTAAATAAATCATGTTAAAATGGAATATTGTCATATTAACTATGAACATGAAAAAATGGATTCATAAATAAAGAAAATTGAGAATTCGCATTTTCTATGTGATGAAAATATCAATTCTTTCTCGGTTCATTCAACAGAAAAGAACTACTTTCCTGGCTATATGCCACGACGAACACTTAATTATATCTATTGAACACACGAAAAGAATTCGACAACAAAATCTTCTTGAGTTGAGAATCTGCATTCTCTCTCATATCAGTGATATGAATGAATTTTCTTGGAAGTTTCAAGCTCCTCAAGATCCGAGTTTATACAAGTATACTTCTCCTATATATTTCAATTTTCAATTCGATACTGAACACATTGGTGAGTTATATCTTTATATCATAAACACATCATGTTATTTATTCGATTTGAGAAAGAATGTCAATTCTCAAATTAAGAGGATTTTTATTTTTCATGTTCTCCTTTTGGATGTTGACCAGTTATAATTCAATGTTCGACTTGGCAAACAGCTAGGAAAGTAGTTGTTTTCTGTTGAATATTCAGAAATTCAAAATGTCATCGTTTAGCAGAGAAGGAGTAACAGTATGAATGTGTTATCAATTATGGTATTCTTCAACAAATAACGCCAAAAAGAAATGAAAATAATTTATCTAAATTTCTATTTTTTCGAATATCTTCGGAAATACTCGGAATTTTGAATTTTTCCCGACGGTTGAGGGTGATCCCAAGGAGTTTAACATTGCCGTGAGAGACATCTTCATTCATAAAAAAGACAATTTTGTGAGTTTTCCCTGGATTATTGACGAGTCCATTCGGTTTAAGCTACTCGTCTACTTTGTTTTGTGTGGCGAGATCATTTTGTTGTAATGTGGCAGTACTGTTGCTTGAGTGGAAGAAAGTAATGTCGTCCGCGAAAAGTGATTGCAATCGGATGGCTGAAGGTGATAGAATATGTCACTGACATATATTATGAATAGGAGGGGTCCAAGAACGGATCCTTGAGGCACTCCTATCTTTGCTAGTTTAGTTTCGGAAACTGTTCCATTGAAAAATACATATAGTTGTCTGTCCTTTATATAAGTCTCAAAAAATTTTTAGGTAGTACCTATGATACCATGGCATTCAAGCTTTTGTAGAAGTACTGAGTGGTTGACACATCTTAGGTCACATAGATTGACAGATGTGTGTTCTCCGTTTTCAAAGCAGTCGACTATGCCATCTACCAATCTTTTGACAGCTTGTATAGTAGAGTGATTTTTCTGATGCAATAAAATATTCGTTTCAAAATAACTCATAAGTCTGTTCTTGATGAGAATTTCAAAAAATTTCCCTATGATTCGAATAATAGCGATGAGTCTATGATTTTCTGGGCAGTCTAGAATGCCTTCCGTGTATATTGGGATTAACTTACTATTTTTGAAAATGTTAGGGTATTTTCTTTGCATAAAGCAGAGGTTGAATAGTATAGACAGAGGTTTAGCGATAATTTCTTTTATGGATTCGATTATTTTGCTATCTCAGTAACTGAAGGAGTTATCGAAAAACCGATAAACATGTTACGGGTTCAATTTTGAAGAAACCTAAGTTGGCTCATTCGGAATTTTGATATCTTCATTCGTTTCAGAGATACAGGGGGAAATTGAAAAATGGCCAATTTCGTTTTTATTTCCTGAGTGCTTTATGGTGAGGAATATTGAAAATTTTCGAAAGTTTATTCAAATAGTATGATGCGAAAAATCTATTGGCACCATTAGAAATTTTATACAGGGTGACATTGAAAAGATACGGCATCCAATTATATTTTTTCTTATGGAACACCCCGTATATTTTGGCACAGTTAGATATTCCCAGGCGTTTCAATTGCAAATATACAGGGTGTTTCCTAACTACGGTTCCTAACTGCAGGTGGTGATTCGTTAAGTCATTTTAGAAAGAAAAGTTCCTATTAACATAAATGTCCGGAGTTGCTTCGTTTTTGAGATACAGGGCGTTGAAATTGAAGAAAAAAACGGTAATTATAAAATATTATGAATATCCTAGAACCGATTTGGTTGAAATTTGGTACTTTCATTTGAACTAATAAGGCGACTATTTAGCCCTATTTAGATTGAAATTATTGGAGCCAGTGGCGTCTCAGTGGGCACCACAGCCAACAATATTGTGAAAAAAAAGTACGCCACTGGCTTTTTTTGGTAAATTTTTATTTTGTTTAGATGGAGCAACTCAAAATTCAACTTTTATGTCTCCTGCATTTTCTCCATATCCAGCTTCGTTTTCGAGAAACAAAATCAAAGCCTCTGTATTGCATATCATGAACACCTGCATTGGAGAGATGAGTTTTTCATTATTTCCGCCAAAAATTCAAAAATTAATTAATATTCTGAAATTTTAGAAAATTTGACAAATAAAAGTGCCAAATTTCAACCAAATCGGTTCTAGGATATCCATGATATTTTATAATTACCGTTTTTTTTTAATTTCAACGCCCTGTATTTCAGAAACGAAGCAAGTACGGACATATGTTCATAGGAACTTTTCATCTTAAAATGACCTAACAAATCACCCCCTACAATTAGGAACCGTAGTTAGGAAACACCCTGTATACAGGGTGTTTCATAATTGAATGCTGATCCTAAAAGGCGATTATCCTTGGATGATTTTAAGAAAAATTCTTCATGTGAACATAGGTCCGTAACAGCTTCGTTTCTGAGATACAGGATGTTGAAATTTAACAAAAAAATCAGTTATTCCGCAATATCTGAAACCGCTCTGGCTTTTTTCTTCATTACAAAAACTTAAAAATAGTTAAAATATTGCTTCCGACCCAGAAAACCCCCAGATACTAATTTTAAATTGAACCGGATCATATTTGATAAACTCGTTCGCCATATTGAATCTATCATCTAGAATTTCTAAAATTTGACGAAAGAATCATAATCTCCGAACCCGACACCACCCAGTTATCAATGTGGAACAGAATCGAATCATAATTACAACAATCGTCCGCCATATTGAATCAGCCATCTTGAATTTTCAAATTTTGAGGAAAAAATCATAATCTCCGACCACAAAATCCCTTAAATCAATTTTGAATAGAATTGGAAAATAATTACAGAACTCGTTCACTATATTGGATCCGCCATCTTGAATTTGTTAGTTTTGACGAAAAAATCATAATTTATAACCCCTAGAATCCTCATATACCAACTTTAAATTGATTCATATCCTAATCACAAAGCTCGTCTGCCATCTTGAATTTCCTCATTCTGACGAAGGACATAATCTCCGACCCACCAAACCCCCAGTACCAATTCCAAATAGAATCGAATCGGAAAAAATCAGTTATTCCGCAATATCTGAAACCGCTCTGGCTTTTTTCTTCATTACAAAAACTTAAAAATAGTTACCATAAAATTATAAAAATATTGCTTAGATCTTTTGGTTACCACAATTGTGAAATTATGACTAAGTAGAAATCGAATAGGGACAAGCAAATGAATGCATTTTATTTTCTAACTCAAAAACCGTTCGCTGGACGAAAAAAAGACAAGAGACCAGTTTTATGAGGAGATAGAGGATAATTACAAAAATAATATTTATTTGGAAAAAAGACAGTGGCGTATCATTATTTCGATGAAAATATGACAGGGTATGTTAACAGGGACGCCACTGATGGAAATTAAGAAATCCTTCATTATGGAAAAAATGTATTTCTATTCATACTTGGCATGTACCAAAATTGGAGAAAAAATCCAGAGCGGTTTCAGAGATATTGGGGAATAACTGATTTTTTTGTTAAATTTCAACATCCTGTATCTCAGAAACGAAGCTGTTAATGACCTATGTTCACATGAAGAATTTTTCTTAAAATCATCCAAGGATTATCGCCCTTTAGGATCAGCATTCAATTATGAAACACCCTGTATATATATAATTATACCTTTTCTTTTCAAAAACTTCAGAAATATTCGCAAAAATATATTCAGCGTGTCACATTTTTCATGGTTTCACCTTCGTATCTTCCGCAAAAATCATTGAGGTGATAACACTGCTCGCCAGCAGATATTGAATCACCGAGATTTCTGGAAAATGCTATGAAGAGGAAGAATATAGGTTGAAATTGACACTCTGTATATATTAACCAAAGGAGGAAAATGAATATTATTGAAAATTCGATTCAAATATTTTATTGCCAGGCAAATGAATATTTGATTAGAAAAAAAAGAAATCATTCGATTTGATATCATTGTTATCAATACATTCAGATTATTAAAGATACTTAAATGAGACAAATAATAATTTACCTAATCAGGAAATTAGTAGGCGACCTTGGGAAATAAAGCTCTATAGAAAATGTTATAATTGCCTTCCGTTCTGCAGTGTTATCAATGGAGTTATTCCCCCTAGGTCCTCGAGTGTATCATTGGCATCTCTCTCACAGTTGCGAGTTTATGAATCCAACTTCAATGATTATTGCGGAAGATACGGAGGTGTAACCATAACACACTGAATATATTTTTGCGAATATTCCTGAAATTGTGAAAGGAAGAGGTAGAGTTATATATATATATTTGAAATTGTAACGCCTGGGACTATCCAACTGTGCCAAAATATACAGGGTGTTCCATAAGAAAAAATATAATTGGCTGCCGTATCTTTTCAATGTCGCCCTGTATAAAATTTCTAATGATGCCAATGGATTATTCGCATCATAGTATATAAATGAAATTCTGAAAATTTTCAATATTCCCCACCATGAAGTACTCAAAAAATAGAAACGAAATCTTCAATTCTTCAATTTCCTCCTGTATCTCTGGAACGAATGAAGATATCAAAATTCCGAATGCGCCATTTCGGGTTTTCCTAAAATCGAACCCGTAACATGTATATCGGTTCTTCGATAACTTCTTTAGTTATTGAGATAGCCCGTGAAAACGCCCAATTTTGCCCACCCTGTACATTTAAACAATTTGAATTTTCGAGGAAACTTATGGCATCCAACAACTTGAAGTCAGTGACAGGAAAGAGAAAGAATGAAGTCTCCTTATTCGGTATTCTTTTTAGTATGGCGATAGCATTGTATTTATTATACTACAAGATTTGTATTTGGGTTAGGTAAATGAAATTCGTTTTTTGCAGTCCCTCGACTCAAAAAAGTCTGAATTGATTCAAAGTGTCATGACTTATTTCACTCGTGATTTCCAGGTATGTGGGCACATTCCCTCACTGTCGACGACTATCAAAATTTGATCGATCGAGGATGGAGAAGATCAGGCATGTATTGTTACAAACCGGTGATGGCAGAGACATGTTGTCCGCAATATACCATCAAGTAAGTCGGATATTCCACACCTGTATACAGGAATATCCACATTAAGTGTACATAGGCCACTTTACAGTTGACAATTTGGCATGCATCCAACAAAAGTTACAGAAATTGACGAAATTGTTGCGGACGCGATAATAATTGCATGGTGTTTTACATCTGGCAAGGCATTGCTGCAATTTCGTGAATGACTTTCGAAAAAAGATTGCCAACCTTGGAATATAATGTTGTGATGTTGATTTTTCTTGACCGAAAAAAAAAAAAAATTCTATTGTAGAACACAAACTGTCATAGTACGAGAGATGGTGACCACTGATTTTTGCCTCATAGCCTCCTGGAAAAACCGCACGAAATCGATAGATTATATGACCCCAATATTCAGACATTTTGCGCGTAGCATCTGATATATCCGATATATAATGCAATTTATAAGTGTATGTGAACAACTGAAGATTAATAATACGATAGGTTATTATAATAATAAATAAAAGTCAAAATTTTTCTCAGTAGATTATGAAATGTTTCAGTAGATCAGTAGATAAACATGAAAATCGGGAGATCTACTGAAAATTCAGTAAAACTGGCAGCCCTGCAGCGGACGGAAAATGTTTTTGGACGAAAAGTTAGTGTTTGCGGGCGAAAAGTACTTGCCTTCGGTTGGTCGTTCAAGAATTAGAACGTAAAATGTGATTTTTTGTAGAGGTCGACGAAAACATTATTTTACTAAAGGAGAAAGGAAAGCTCAAATTTTACTAGGTAAATCAACTGGCGACCTTTTAGCATATGTAACCCACATCTGGAACTCAACTCTAGAGAAACACGGAGAATCTAGGGTTATTGCCCTAGACATATCTAAAGCATTTGATAGAGTATGGCACCAGGCACTCCTGAACAAGTTGCCTTCCTATGGTCTGCCGCCCCTACTATGCCGTTGGATTACCAGCTTCCTTAAAGATCGAAGTCTTCATGTAGTTGTTGACCGTCAACGACGATTTGGAAAGGATCCAACAATGGGGCAATTTGAACATCGTACAATTCAACGCTTTGAAGACTCAAGCAACAGTTTTTTCTAAGAAGGCTAACCGTGCGAGTCCTGATACAATTATGGCTGGAAGAACCTCACCAATCAGTTCATCACTATCAATGCTCGGCATCACGGTATCTGACAGTTTATCTTGGCATGACCATGTTGCCAATATAGCCAGAGCTGCCTCTCAAAAGCTGGGATTCCTCTTCCGCGCGAAGAAGTATTTCACCTCACAACAGCCTGACACTCTTCAAAGCCCAGATTCGACCATCCCTTGAGTACTGTTCGCACGTTCTGGGGATCAGCTCCAAAACACTCCCTGAGGTTACTGGAGTCAGTTCAAAGAAGAGCCGTCAGGCTCATCAATGACCCAACTCGGACAAGATCACTGCAAACTTTACAACATCGGAGAGACGTTGCAGACCTATCACTCTTCTATCGCTACTATCATGGACGATGCTCTGTTGAATTGTCATTAGCTGTCCCCCCTGGAATGACCTTTGTTCGCCAAACGCGGCTGGCTCAAGTCTCACACCAATATGCAGTCAAAATTGAAACACCTAGAACAACATATTTCAAGAACTCCTTCTTTTGTAGGACATCTTCACTGTGGAATTCTTTACCCACAGATGTATTTCCACCAAACTACAATCTATTTACCTTCAAGAGGAGGATCCATCGATATTTGTCCCTCCTTAGTGCTCGCAGTTCCACCACGGGATTATAGGTCCAACCTTTTGCGAGCACTTCCGAATAAAAAAAAAGCGGAAAAATCGATTCTCAGATAAAAAATATGTTCGCCTTATATTTTTATAGCATTCCGAACATGTCAACAAATCTGACCTGAGTTAACTATAACCATATGTCTGAAATTCGTAAAATCGTCGTTAATGATTGAATATATTGCCCAAATGTAGAAAAAATATATATAAAACAAATAGAATGTAGCATGTAACTGAGCAGACACCTTTTCAATTTGCAGTATTTACATATTTCGAAACGGTCAAAACAGAACAGCCATCTTGCGCAGCAGCTTTGGTGAAGCGGGAGACAGGGACGTAGCATGTAAAAGGTCGTCCTTGACACAGGAGCGTAACAAGAGAGGATGTATTTGCCGGGCGACTCCGGTACATTTTTTCGATATGGGCGACACCCAAAATCTCTGAAAACAGTAGTTTTGTATTCTGTGCATTCATGCGAATAATTTAAAACAAAAATGAACCGAACTGCTATATAGACCAGTGCTGAAGCCTTTGAAAACGGTAAAAAGTAAAATATAGTAGGATGAAACCCACTGGGAAAGAAAGAGAATATAACAAGAAAGAAAGGGGAAACCCAAATGTTGGTGATGAAAAATCAAAATCTATTTCTTCATGCAGGCAGGCTGATTTCGGGACACCCTGTATATTATTGATAACTTCAACTTCAACTATCTAAATATGCTAATTTGTTTTCATTCTTCAAACCTTATCTCAACCCCTTTTCCTCTTGGGAACATTACTTTCACATTGAAACAATAATAATCAAATGATATTATGTTTAAGGTGCGATGTCAAGAATTTTTCGTTAAGCAAATCGCAAAAAAAGGTCATCAAGAAATTCAACAAGTTTTTGGAAACTGACATTCTGAACAAAAAAGATATCTCTACAGAAGAGGGGAATGACAGTGCGCATATTTTTATTAGAGATAATCCAAACACTCAGAATTTTGATGTGAGTTCTGTCTATGTAGAGAATAAAGAAGAAGAAGATGAACGAGAATCGAGAGTGCCAATATGCGATAGAGCTTTGGAAGAACCTTCACAAGAACAACAAGATACACCTGGTAAGCAGAGCATTCAGTGTACCACAAGGATCAGTATTGGGAGCACTCGAGTTTTCTATTTATCAGTGGAAAAGAGGCACGGATGCCACAAACATTTGCTGTGTTTTTGATGATACTTTCAAATTCAATCATTTTAGGGGCCTATCATGCATCTTGAATCACTCATTAAAAAATGTGAATACAGGGCGTTCAAAAACATAACATTGGCGAAAGAAATATCTTGGTACAAACGATTAATACAATTTGTAAGGACCTATTTGATTATGAAGATAAGAAGCTGAAAAGAAAAAAAGTTTATATGGGGTATGCCCTTTCACTGGTACGGAAAGCGTGTACAAGTTTTCAAAAATGTGAAAAAACAGTCACAAAGACATGCTCGAGAGCTTCAGATATTAATAGTGTATTTGACCCAGGTGTTTCTGATTACCGAAAAATATTAATCTGCCGGTTTGCATGGTGGGGGTGGCCGTACGTAGGGGGTAGAGAATAGATAAAAAAAATTATTCCAGCGCGTCAGATATTGAGAAGGGATGTCTCCAATAGACTGACGATTTCGACGCGACCAGAAGTCATGACAAATTTTTGAAAATGAATAAAAAAAAGTTGTGACCTTGAAATGCTCGAGCGCGTCAGATTATTATACAGACGCTTCATCTTAATGTTCTTGTTGTATTCGCTACAGTCAAGGTCATTATTTCACGTTGCGGTGACATGAAAACATTTCTAGCTTCTGGCTTAGATTGGAAGTTAGACATGTTTTTCCGTAAAGTTTTCATGTCATCACAACGTCAGATGATGACCTTGACTACCGCGAATTGACCCATAATCTGACAATTATGTAGAGGAATTTCCTCAATCTGACAGTTGAATTTTGTTTTGTTAACTGAGGCTATATTGCGAATTCAACTGGTCAGTACTGTCAGTAGATCCACTAACTCTGCTGAAAATCTGCGTTCCGAAATCTAAAATCAAAAATACTGTGCTGTAATTCGGAACACGTTTTCATGCTTCATCAGTAGTCAGCAGCAGTTGATCAGTTGGTGAAATTTGTCAGACTTTTTTTGAATTGACTCGGCCGTTACTTGATGGAAATCCATGATAAATGTAAAAATCATATCAATATATCACCTGACGAAGCTACTGTGTTAGCGAAACATGTCGTGTGTTTGAGAATTTTGTGGAAATCTTATCGTTTGTGAAGTTTTTACATTTGTCAGTCTGTAGTTTCTCGCTTATCTGGACTAGATAATTTAGCCTGCTGGTTGACTTACATTTTGGATATTTAATATTTATTAACATGGAAGAGCAATCGGTTCTTGTAGCGTTCATAGATTCTTCAATTGTTGACGATGACGATTCAAGCTCGAGTGATGAGATGAAGAATACTTGGACATTTATGTAATATGACATTGATGATGATGAATTCAGGAGACATTTCAGGTTTATCTAGATATTTATTTACCCAACGCTGCTGCTTCTTTCGTTATCTCTTCTACTTCATACTCCATATTATTCTCCGCGTTTATTATTTCAATAACAGATATTTTCTGCTGTCCTAAACTTAGTACATATACATCAAATATCATTCTCTATTCACATATACTCAGTCGAATTAACTATCTCATAAATATTTGGGGATATTGTTCTAAAAATAGTTTCAACAAAATTTCTGTTCTATATAAAAAGGCATTGAAAGTATTGTATCGTCTTCCATATGACACTCCAACGAATCAACTGTATAAGGAAACAAACACATTTTCTTTGGAAGAGCACTTTTTAATCAATACTCTCAAAATTTCCTATTATATCATCAACAAAAAGCTTAAATCAAATTTTATATTAATCAGGAATTCTGAAATTCATGATCATCACACTAGACAATATAACTTGTTTCATCTTGAAGCTGCAAATTCTAAACTTGGGCAAAAAAAGTTTACACATGAGGCGATTTCGAAATTCAATAAACTACCAGATGATATCAAAAACAGCCCAAATATTATGCAATTCAAAAATAAAGTTAAGAAATATATTTATATGCAAAGGAATGATCAAAGCTGAAAGACCATGAATTTCCTTTTTTCTTTTTTTTTTTTTTTTTTTTTTTTTCACTGTTTTTATTTTTCCCCTTCTCGTTCACTATAATATGACTGTATCTTAATGATATGTAAGTTTTGTTCACTATTTGTAATTTCAATTATACAACAGTCGATAATACTTCATGAATGATCTTATACCAGGAATTACTGTCTGATTATTCATGTCATTCCTACTAGAAAATTAATTATACTTTATATATTATTTGTATGAAATGTATCAATGAAGAAAAGAATGTAATGCAATAACTGAAATAAATAAATAAATAATTAACAACGGAAATAAATGTTACATTCCTTCCCCCTCTCAAATAATGACAGTTTACTGACGCCACACTACCTTTTGATAGTCAGCAATTTCAGCAGAATGTTGAGTCGAAATATTAGGAATGAATAGTATATCTGCTCACAAGCATCTGTCACATTCAGTGATTTTTTTGATTTCGGAATGAAAAATCAGCAGATTCAGTATCATTTGAATTCGGAATATAGCCTGAATGTAATAACTAAGGTTGGTAGAACTGATTATTTTGTAGAGGAAGGTTGCCTCGATCGCACTCCGCGAGTAATTCGTGACGTAATGTGTTGACGTGACAGAGCTGTCAGATTGATGTCAGTATTTTTCAATATTTGAATTAAAAATTGCAAAAATGCTTATAGTTTGTTCAATCGCTTCTTGTTTCAATTCTCACGAGATCAGTGATACTAGAAGGGTAGTTTAAGTTTCCATTCATTTTCGAATGATGGATCGTTTCTTCAGAAATTGAATCAATGTCCTGGAAGTAAGATTGTAATTCATTTAATGCCAAAACTTGGCGAATAGTTATGCCTTTTTCGATGCCGAGGATTTTGAACAGAATCTACAAGCAGAATTGCTATAATACACATCAAAAAGGGAAGAAAACTCAAGGTAGGAATCCCATCAATAATACAAAAGAAGAAACACTAAGTCTGGAAGTTTGTGATTGCTAATATGACTCTTCTCAGAACAAACTGGTGATGGATATAGAAAAATGATCAGAAGATTCAGTGAGAGAACAGTTGTGAATGTTCAGAGGTTCTTGCTGAACGGATAAAATGGCCATCAGAGGATATCACACGCGCTTTCACGTTGAGATATTTGAACACGGGGCGCTATGATTGTTTGAGACGTAGGTTAAGTCACGAGCGTAGCGAGTGGCATAATTAACTTGAGTGAAAAATAGCTCATTATATGCGAGTAGACTCCTATACTTTTTCCACGACTACTATTGTTTTTGATATATAAAATTATTTTTAACAACTTTTTCATCATAAATATTTCTCAATTACAAAGTCCACCACTGTTGTTCTTCTTCAAGCAAAACGATAGCCATTTTTCACACCAGTGAATAATAGCGGTGAATAACCATTAGTCACTGGTCTAAAGTTCCCTATATGTTATATCGCAAACCCTATATGTAAACTCTAGACCAGTGAATTATGGTTATTCACTGGTGTGAAAAATGGCTACCGTTTTGCTTTAGGAAGTACATGTATTATGAATATTTTATACAACAGTCGTGGATAATATAAATATTCATATTTTAAACAACATTTCATGATTTTTCGCTTTGAGGTCGATATCTTGTCATCTTACTGCCTGTGACGTCTCGAATGACCGTTTCCCTCCTTGTCGCTCTATCGATCGAGGCAACCTTTCTATACAAATTATCATCAGTTCTTCCAACCTTGCCTAAAATGTGAAAAAGTGCACTCTAGTGAGCATATTCCATGTTCCAAATTTCAGAAATATATCTAGAAAAACAAAGAAGAAAAGGGGGCATACCATGAGTAATTCACCCGGCATAATACCGGGTATTTCTCAAAAGTGGCTCACCCCTATAACTTTTTTGTTGATTAAATTTCAGGTGAAACAAATAATTGCAATAATACCGAAAAAAACACCCCCACAACGTCTTTGAGTATAGGGGTTGGGCCAGACAGCAGCAAACCCCCCTGCAAAAAAGCTAAACTGATGAGGTTAGAACGAAAAAAAGAGAAACTATTGAAAAAAGGACTAACCATAGAGAAAAAAATGAACTCGAACCAAAAGAGCATTGAACAGTTTCTGAAGGAAATTCCATCCAATGCAAAACACCGATTGAAGGTAATGCATATTGTTTTTTGTGTGTGTTTGTTTCTTTTAAGTTGCATATAATAGTTATTTATACACTAAGTTAGTAAATAATATCATCAATTCCCAGAGGCCGAGGGTATATTCCGAGTGTTCATCGGTATATTACATTTTTTTCACCACTAGCAATATAATAGCATATTACATATTATGTGTTGTAAGAAGCATATGCGTAACTCCATGAGTGCGTAATTGTTTTACAACACGCATTACGTACTATACTTCACCTACTTTCATATAGTGCATCAAAAAAGTTTAGACAAACAGCCTGAATTGTAATTCTTGACAGTTATGTCATCCGCTGTTGACAGCGATGACTCAATCATGACATATCTATTATACTGGCGTAATAAACGAAAACTGTGCGATGTGCTTACTGTGCGTAAAGAGCTACTTACTGAGGCTGTATCTCGTATGTTCTTGCCTACTTTCTATAGTAACCGTAGGTGAATATTGTAATGATTACCCATATAAACTGGTCAACATTGATAACGTCGTGTTCCAAAATATAGCCTGAATTCAAAGGAGAATAACTCACGAATTTCCTCACCACCTTGACAGTTTGTTGTGGCAATATGGAACTTCTGTAATTTCAGATAACATTGCTACAGGGTGTTAATTGAATGGGTGTAAAATTGCATCGTGGTCGTCACCTTACCGTTTGAACAGATAATTTTTTAAATTCTTTTTCTCACCTGTATCCTCTTGATTGATGCTTTCTCTCAACACATTTTCGGAATTTTCAAATTCAGAGGTTTGATAATCGTGTTATTTTTTCGACGATTAATTGAATGATTTTGAAAGTTGGACTTCTTCTCCGAAGAATCAACGTTGTATGTATAGTCGTTGGATATGTGATCGTGTTCGAACACAGAAAATTCGGAAAAAGTCTATACAAAGTGATACAAGAAATACTGAATGATGAAATGGAGAATAACGTAGTCTTTAGTAGATGAAACATAATTTCCTTTGTGTTACTAGTGGAATAATGGAGTGTTACTTCGTCATGAGGATGTCTGTTGTCTGACTTTGAAATTGTTTTGAAATTTTTTGGATCGAAGGTCATATAATAAAAGTACGCATTTTCAACAAAAATGATGCATTTTCGTTAAGATAAATTATAAAATTAAAAAATTACGATTTTAGTTCCAGAAGTATGTAAATCATATTTATTCTTGACGATGCATGTACAAGGTGCGATAAAAAATATGTCCAGATTGTCCCGGGATGAAGAAGGATATGTTTAAACGTGATGAAAATCGCTATGTTCCGAAAAAGAAATATAGTGTCGGTCAATGTCAAAATTTGTGAAATCAATAAATGTAGTAACTTTTCATGAGGTTTATACAAGGGAGTATGAATGAGACTGCAGAATTGCCACAGATTCGATTAAATGTTTTCATACTGATGAAGATGAATACAGTAAGTCCCCATGAGGCTTATACGAGGTAATATGAAAGAGACTTCAAAATTGCCATATATTCGTGCATACTTGTTACCATTGCATCTTATACTGATCTAGCACCTACAACATGGTCTTCCGAAGGAAACTTTCCTCATTGTCACTCAGTGTGAAGTTGAATGGAGATAAAATAACTCTTGAATGCTCATTTCTGCATCATCTTTTTCACAGGGTGATTCATAATAAGGAATTCATAATATCTCACCTGATGCTATAGATTTGACGAATTCCGTTGAAAAAATATAGATTTCCCAACTTATACTCAAAATTATTGCTATTATGTTTTCTCACGTCAAAAAAACAAAAAAATCCTAACTGCATATTGGATTGACGTTCATTCTAAAATGTGAAGTATCGTTCATATCACCTCGTATGAGCCTCATGAGGACTTACTGTATTCATCTTCATTCGTATGAAAAACATTATATCGAATTTATGGCAATTCTGCAGTCTCTTTCATATTTCCTCGTATAAACCTCATGAAAAGCTACTGTATTTATACATTTCACAAATTTCGACATTGACCGACACTATATTTCTTTTTCGGTACATAGCGATTTTCATCACGTTTAAACATATCCTTCTTCATCCCGGGACAATCTGGACATATTTTTTATCGCACCTTGTACATCCATCGTCAAGAATAAATATGAATTACATACTTCTGGAACTCCAATCGTAATTTTTTTGAATTTTATAATTTATCTTAACGAAAATGCATCATTTCGATTAAAAATGCGTACTTTCATTAAATGTCCTTCGATCCAAAAAATTACAAAACCATTTCGAAGTCAGACAACAGACATACTCATGACGAAGTAACACTCCATTATTCCACTAGTAACACAAAGGAAATTATGTTTATGTGATTATTATCATTCAGTATTTCTTGTATCACTTTGTATAGACTTTTTCAGAATTTTCTGTGTTCGAACACGATCACATATCCGACGACTATACATACAACGTTTATTCTTCGGAGAAGAATTCCAACTTTCAAAATCATTCAATCAATCGTCGAAAAAATGCATCATTCTGAATGAATATTCATAACACGAATATCAAACCTCTGAATTTGAAAATTCCGAAAAATGTGTTGAGAGAAAGCATCAATCAAGCGGATACAGGTGAGAAAAAAAATTTAAAAAATCATGTGTTCAATCGGTAATGTGACGACCACGATGCAATTTTACACCCATTCAATTATCACCCTGTAGCAATGTTATCTGAAATTACAGAAGTTCCATATTGCCACAACAAACTGTCAAGAGATTAGGCTAATCATCGGTGGAAACCGATTTCAAATTGGTGAGGAGATATTCTACTTTGAATTGAGGCTATATTTTGGAGCACGACGTTATCAATGTTGACCAGTTCAGTTATGTGAAACTGAAATATGGACTTTGTCACTATGAAAGCATTATTCTAATTGAAATCTATAGTAGCCATGACCATGACAGCATATGACAAGTCGTTATTGATAAATATCTACTAGATTCGAGTACTATTCCCGCGAATCTCGCATCAGAAACAGAGGTGGCTATGTCTTTATTGGGAAGAAATTGAAAAGTCCTCCTACTGGAGAGCAATTCCAGGTCAACAACAAGCGAAAAGGTTCATCAACCATTCGTAGAACCGTGCCAAAGAGCTACTCAGCCTCAGCAAACCAGATTTAAAGCTTATCAAAGGCTTTCTCACAGGACACTGCCCTATGAGATACCACCTCAAAACGATGGGCCTGACGAAGACTGACACTTGCCGCCTTTGCAACAATGCGACCGATACCGCGGAACACCTACTTTGTTCATGTAAAGTATCAGTCCGCCAAAGACTGATTCACCTAGAACAGGTCTATCTCACACCTGCAGAGGTGGAAAATTCAACCGTCAGGAAAATTCTGGGCTCCATCAGAAGTCTAGGGTTAAAGGATCATAACTAAATAAGGGTAATCACAATAGATCTTCTAGGTCGCAGTGATCGAGAGGTCTCCCAGCCGATATGACATATCTACAATTTACAATCTACATGTCTTTATTGACTATAGTAGTTCATAAAATGTCGAAAACTATCTTAGTAGTAAAAACACACTATACGCCTCGAAAAGAGTGAATTTAATAATGGTTAGTTCTATTGCTAGTGGTGGAAAATTAGTACATTATTTAATGAGCACGGAATGATAGTGATTTTCCACGAGAATGAAGTTTACATCTGCAATCATTCGAGTGGAAAATTAGCATTCCGTGAGTTATATACTGTAATTTTTCTACGGCTGTAACACATAACAGCGACATTTTTGATTTCTTTGTCTTCTAGCCGTCTGATTTACTCTCAAGTAATGTTCATCCATGTGACAGAGCTGTCATTGCACCAAAATATGAAGATCATCATGCCTAATAAGAATGTTGCTGGTTCAGGAGTTACAGGGTGTTCAAAGGAAAGATTTTATTTTGAAATTCCTCAATGACTTCGTAAGTTTCAATAGCAAGACACTTTGTTGTTTCCGGTTTTCTGACATGAGAAATTCGAATTTGAAATTTATTTTGTTATAAGTCATAGAGGGCGCACTCTATTACTTCGGTGAATTACATCATATCTTCTTTGTCCATTAAATGATGATTAAAATTAGTCAAAAATCTGAAAGCCTGTTCAATTTTACATAAAAAATTCACTCTTTGTGTGTCACTAATAGCATTATGTTTTCTTATTTTAAATTATGAAGTAAGCGAAGTGGCAGTGTCAAAATACAGTAGTCAATAATAACAATCACTAACAACAAACAAAACTTCAAAGTAAATGTTGGAAAATATTTAAACTTAATTTTTTTCCTTGAACACCTCGTATCTGCAACATTTTTATAAGGTATGTTGGGCTCAATCTTCATATTTTGGTAATAACTAGCTGTAGTTTAGATATTGCATATTCCTAATGAATCACCTTGTATAGAGAAAATCGGGCAGCCTTCGATTTAAATACATTATCACTTCAAGTTTGCACAGGCTGCCAAATTGATAGCAGTTTCGCATTCCTTTTTGAATAAAAAATATATTTCACGAAAATCCAAGAACTAATATTATTTCATAAAAGACTTTTATGCACTAGCGGGCCGTAAAGTGCACTTTACCGCCCGGTTTTGCGGGCGTTAAGTCGCACTTTACCGCCCGCGGGCTCATTATGGCCCACGGGCCGTAAAGTGCACTTTACCGCCCGCTGTTCTCAGTTACCTTATGTCCACATATCAATTCATGAAAAACCTATGATCATTTTCCTAGATTCTAATATATCCAGCGGTATATCATGAACTTCTTCTTTATCCGATTCCATATCTATCGCTATTATTATTATCACTAATTTTTACTTTTCAGTCAAAGAATGACAATTCAGCTCGTTTATTGGATGATTGGATGTATTGATATAGACAACAACCATCAGCTTGATTGACAACGTCAAAATTAGTTAGGTATATATACTGGGTATTCAGCATATTGTGAAATTCTGAAGAATGAATCTCTTCTAGAGATCAAAGAGTTTCACTATTACGATAATTGCAATATTCGTACGATAATTTTCATATGTAAATCATCCATGAACATTACGCTTCTCTTGATTACTGAATTCATACGCAACAAATCAAATTCGGGGGAATATTAGTTTATCGAAATCTATAGTCATTACTTTTGTGTCAGAAAATAAACCACTAGTGCATAAAATTTTGTATGTATCACGTGCGTGAAATGCGTTTATGGCCTTGAGCGTGTAATGGCCCTCGGCTAGCGCCATCGGGCCATTATTCACGCCACTGGCCATAAACGCCTACTTTACGCCCTTGATACATAAATAACTATTATGCACGACCGGGCGTAAAGTAGCACTTTACCGCCCGGGTTTGGGGGCGTAAAGTGGCACTTTACCGCCCGCGGACTACTTTACCGCCCGGCGGGCGATAAAGTCATTGAGCTGGTGGTAAAGCTAATGTCACTGTCACATCGATAGAAATCTAGATTCCAATGGTTTCAATTAATGCAAAATGATTGGGAAAATAGATCTGAATTATTATACTTGACATTAAGAAAGCATGAAAATAGTACTTACTTTCATCATAAGGTACGAATCGTCTGGTGCTTCACTCAAGAATAACTCTATTTCTTCTCTGCTTAGAATCCTCGATTTTCTTTTCAAAAAAGCTATCAATCTTGCATATTTACTGATATCTCTATTATCATGTACATTTAAAGTAGCTTTCAACATGGAGTAATATGACCACATGGAATAGGGCTTACGAGATTTTGATTTTTCCAGAAAATAGGCAAGAAGCACACTTTCAGTGTAGTTCTTATGTTTTACATCATTTCTGTCGCACCAGCTTACGAATTCTTCGTATACTTTGTCGTATATTTTTTTTGATTTACTTGGCAATAAACTCGATTTTGCTTCCTCAGCTGCCTCACTAATTTCTGGTGGAGTACAATTCACACTTTCTTCATCACTAGAATTCATTTTGAAATCACTAATGAATTATGTATGATTACACAAATTGACAGTTAATATGGCTACTGGCCTATTAATTCCTATTTCGAAAAATTGACTGAGTTGCCATGGTAACGTTGATTCCATACTTCTTGATTAATTGTATTTGCGATATGGATACAATTCAGTCTCACTGCAACCGTGATGTATTTTTATTGTGCTTGAGGGGTGAAGAGATACCTACATGAGATATCAGATATATACAGGTCGTGCATAAAATGTTGTATGTGTTTCGGGCGTAACTAGCTTTTATGGACCTAGGCGTGTTAATAGCCCTCGCTATCGCTCCGTCTATTACTTACACGCTGCGATCCATAAAAGCCTATTTTACGCCCTTGATACATAAATAACTATTTCAAAATATCGAGGGTGCCTTAATCATATCTTTTATTCCATAGATACGTTTGATTCCAACTAGTATTCCTAACGACGAATGGAAACTAGCGGAACAAGCAGAATTTCAGTTGTACAGGCGTTATCAAATGACTATTCACAACGATCCGCCTGCCAAATTGGAGTTGACAAAATTTCGATCATTTTTAGTGAAATCTCCGATCAAGGTACATATTTCCATGATAACGGATGTCCTTGGAAGCAGAGTATTATAATCTTCATGTAGTGAGAATTTCATTTTCTGAATTTCAATTTTCAGTTCAATCGATTTTTTTTTGGTCGTCCGGAAATATGGAATTTATACAGGGTGAGTCATGAGGAACAGTACATACTCCTACCACGAACAGAGGTCCTTGAGGGGAATATCTAATGACCATCGACCATCAGAAAGTGTCTTCTCCTCTTCTTCACCAATATATAGGGTGAATTATGAGATTTGGCACAAACATCTTTTGGTTATAACTTTTCAACAGCTCATATTCGATTCGTCTGATTTTTCCATGCAATATTCCTCTACTAAACCCTAATCAACTGACTTATTCAGAATCGGAAATATCCAGGACCGTTTTTTTCGATAGTTTGGTTTTTATCAAAAAGTTCATCCTCTATATGTTTTTTTTTAAAATTTGAAATAAATCGCATCAACCATTAGAGGTTATTAGCGATGGAACGATAATTACATTACATTACATTACAAATCGGAGTTTACAGTGTCTATATTTCGTTCAGGATATCAATTGAGTTGAGAAATTTCATTAGATTCAGTATGTTGTTTCCTTGAAGATTTTTCTGAAGGTCATTCGATAGTCCATTGGATACTCTTTGTCGCTCAAGCCCGGGACATTCAGAGATGATGTCTTTCACCGAGATGTTAACTCCACAGAACTCGCATTTGATGGCTTCCTCTTTCCTGAGGAGATGTTGATGTGTTAGTTTGGTATGTCCAATGCGTAGTCTCGAAAGGATAACTTGTTGTCTTCTGCTCACACCTTCTACTCTATTTTTGACGATGTTTGGGTTTATTTCAGTTAGCTTATTATTCGAATTTTGCCACCTAGTGTACCACTGTTGCCTGGACATTTAATTTATTCTCCATTTCAAATCTTGGTTCGGTATCTCCAGAATAACTTTGGCTTCGGGGTCTGCGCAGGCTTGCTTTGCTACAGTATCGGCCGTTTCATTTCCTCTAATTCCAGTATGTGAAGGAATCCATGCAATCTCCACCTTTTTGTTTTTCTGGTATAGTGCCAAAAGGTCCCTCTTTATGCGTTGCAGGAGTTGATGTTTCGGGTACATTTGCAAGATTCCTTTTACCGCACTGAGAGAATCTGTGAAAATGACTGTCTTGGTACTGGTACTGTTGCGCGCTTCTGATATGGCTTCTGCTAAGGCAAAAAGATCCCCAGTAGTATAAATGGTGCATGTTGCTGACAGACGGTAGGAGAGATGTGATTGAGGCGTGATAACCGCGGCTCCTACAGTTTCGTTACCAACTATCTTGGAGGCATCAGTGTAAATGCAATCATAACCGGAGTATTTAGCTTTGAGTTCATGAAACAGAGTTTGAAATAGGGTGGTAGGAGTTGAGGATTTAGGGTATTCAGAAAGTTTTGTGTTACATTGGGGAATTTTAACTGTCCACGGGGCTGGTTGGTATTGGGGAGGCGTGATGACATTCTCAAAATTGAAGTTCCATTTCTTAATCCGTTCATAAAAAGGCGATGCTGTGTTTGAGATTTCGGGAAGTAGGTCTTCCGGTCTCTTGAAAGTATTTCTATAGGTTGGGTGATTTGGGTTGGCAGATATCCTGGCAGCGTAACTTGAAGACTTGAATATTGCCTACGGATTATAAGGGGCGGTTCATCAGCTTCTACATATAAGCTTTCCACTGGACTTGTCCTGTATATGGTTTTTGTTAACTATGACCGGGAATTTCCGAAGCACACAAACAAGCATAAAAAATAAAATACTCAAAATTCTCCTCACACTTTCACAGAATTTTTCAAAAAACTATAAATTCTAAGCAAAAACGAAAGTTTGACAGCAAATTTTATGCATTCCAAACTAATCACTTTGCAACGCATAAATGTCACAAATAAAAGTGATACTCATATTCAATTCTTTATCCCAATAGAAATCAACATGTTCTTTCATTTCCAGACCTGGATTTCGTCATTTCATTATTTGTACCTTGTAGGTCTTTTTTAAATCAGTGGATAGGGTATTTGTTTAAATATTAATGGTCATCGATTCGAATAATTCAAGATAGTCGAACAGAAAATGAAGGTTTACTCACAATTATTTTTCAAAAGCTATACTGACAAAGGCGGATAATAATTCTTGTACGGAAAATAATTGCTTATAAATCTAATAGATGACACTGTGAATTTGAATCATAAAATCATTCATAGCGATGGCCATCAACATTTTCACATATACCTCATCCACGGATTCAATAAGATGTACAGGGTGATTATTATCCTCCACAAAGAATTGAATTACTAAATCCAGGACTGAAAATGAAATAATATGGTGATTTCCATTGAGCTGAAGCATTGAAAATGTAAGTCTCACTTCTATTCGTGAAATTTATGGGTTGCGAAGTATTGATTTCCACATCAATACATTTTTTGCCAAATCTTCGTTCTTCATAAAATTTATAGTTTTTTTCAAACTGCAGTAGAAGTGTGAAGAAAATTTGAAATGTTTCATTTCTGATGTTTTGTGATCCTTGAAAATTCCTTGTCAGAGTTTACAAAAACGATATCTGTATATCGATCTTGCTATAAACTTAACTATCAAAAGTTTTCAAGAACGGTCCTGGATTTTCCCGATTCTGAATAAGTCAGTCGATTAGAGAGTAGTAGCGGAAAATTCCATGAAAAAATCTGACGAATCGAAGAAGCTGTTGGAAAGTTATGACCAAAAGATGTTTTTGCCAAATCTCATAATTCACCCTATATATCGGAAAAGAAGTGAAGTAGACACTTTCTGATGGACATTCGGTATTCCCCTCAGGGGCCTCTATTCGTAGTAGGAGTATGTACAGTTCCTCATGACTCACCCTGTATATTTAATATTCTCTATGATTGTAAGATTTCTGCAGGTTTCTCCTCTATGAAAATGCGACGAAAATTGATAGATGTCGCCTTGACGGCTCTGAATATGCCATATGTTAGCTTTTACAGTGTTTATACCCGGTGCCAACAAAATCTTTGGCTAGGGCGTCATTCAGTTGTTTGACATTTTCAACGAAGATGTAGTTCCTCAAAACTTTTTTTTCATTGCTTGGAGCGCACGAAGGGAAATCCCTATAATGTTCGAAGAACATCGTGCGTTCCTAGGGAGGATAGGGACAGGAGGTAGATATTGGAATTTTTTTTGAACTTCTGGAGGTTATACAGTGTCATTCATAAAGTCGGCATCATATGGAAAAAACTTTAATTGATGACTCATTTTGGAATCCGAGTTGGACGTTAAGTCTTGCTTCAAAAAAGATAAAAAATGGCCTACTCAATCGGGGTCACGTGACTTTCGCTACATGTCAAAAGTGACATTTTTTCAAATTAATCGCTGAAAGTAGGCTTATTTGTTCGAATATCAAAAAGTTTACTTGAAAATGTTGTTTCTATTTAGATTTTACACATGCTTCTCGAATTTGATCTCTCTATTGCAACTTTTAGATTTAGATTTTTTTTTAATTTTGAGAAATTTCTGTAATATTTGAAGAATTGTTAATTCCACGAAACTACTTCATACCAGAAGCTTTTTCATGCTACTTACTTTCAATTACTTATTATCACTGATTTGGACAGAAATATGATTTTCTTCAGAAAATGATAATACCCGCTTCCAAATTCTGTTATGGTTGATGCAAAGTTGATATATCGTCAAGCATTTAGAAACGAAATTCATTTGAACTGATTTTTTCAGTACTGAAAAAATTAATTCAAATAAATTTCGTTTCTAAATGCTTGACTCAAACATGACAGAATTTTGATGTTATGTTTGCATCAAACATAACAGAATTTTGAAGCGGAGATTATCATTTTCTGAAGAAAATCAAATTTTTGTCGATAATTAGTGATAATTAGTAATTGAATGTTAGTAGCATGATGAAGCTACTGGTATGAAGTAGCTTTATCGAATTTACAATTTTTTTAATATTACAGAAATTTCGAAAATTTTCAAAAAATATCGAAATCTAAAAAATGTAATAGAAAGATAAAATCCGAGTCACATATGTAAAATTCAAATAGAAACAACTTTCTCAAGTAAACTTTCTCGATATTCGGACAAATAAGCCTACTTTCAGCGATTAATTTGAAAAAATGTCACTTTTGACATGTAGCGAAAGTCACGTGACCCCGATTGAGTAGGCCATTTTTCATCTTTTTTGAAGCAAAACTTAATGTCCAACTTGAATTTCAAAATAAGTCATTAATAAAAGTTTTTCCCATATGATGCCGACTTTAAGAATGACACTGTATATGTTGTTGGGAATACTTCCTCAGGCAATGAATTCCAGAGCTTAGCCGTTCTATGGATGAAGGAGTTTTGATAAAGTGCTGTTCGACATCTTTCGAGGTTGACAACGAAAGGATGTGCTGACTGGGCTTTTCTAGTGTGTCATATTTTTCATTGAAAAACAATTGAATATCACTCCGAACTCTTATCCAACTAATACCATCCAGTGACTCTAACTGAAGCTAGTCTAGATTTCTTAACGGATTCTGAATTGAGAATGAATTTTCTGAAACTTTTGTGATGTAACCGACTCTCTATCTGTCATGTTTACCGAGATCCCAATGGTGAGGATTGAATTTGGGACACACTGTATACGTATTTTTGCTTCCTTCGTAAAATCAACTTTTATCTCAGAAGAAAATGAATGAAAAAGGAATTTGGCTCCTTTATCAGCCTTATGACGTACTACCTAGAAAAGCCACATTCAAACAGATATGAAATACGATTCCCTTTGTCAATACAACGTTGCCGGCATCATCAATGATATGTCTAGAATTTCGGAAATTGTTCTTTGCATAAATTATAATAGAATAGGGATTTAATAGGTTTATTCAATCCTACTTGGCCGAGTATTTCGAATAATTTTCATAAATTTATTAGTAACTGACTGAAGTTGATTACTAAAAAAGGTTCATTGTGATATTTTGCGATAGTATCTATAATTTCTCACTTTCGTTATATTATGAAATGATAATTATAACTTGTCAGTCATTATTTTGCAAAAGAATTTGATCCTTCATAAAACGGATCTATTTTCTAGAAAAATTGCAGATTATATCTTAAGCGCATAATACTTCGAGCTCGTCCACACCACAAAAAATACTAAAAGGCACACCAACTGCCGATCTGATATTTCGGTTATGTATATTTTTGTTTATCAGTTTTACTGGTGTAGATTTTTGATCTCCAGTTATTCGTTAGCCTATGTCTATAGTTTATAGTCGTTTTGTTCGTTATTTTTTATCATATAAACATCAACAACGACGCTGAGTTGTCTTCTTCTTCAATTTTTTTATTCGTTTTCATTTGTTAGCTATTTGCTAGCTATATTCTTCATCATCAGCAAAATTCAGACTAGATTCAAAATTGACACAGTTAGCCTTCCCGAAAATAAGAAGTTGCTTTATTCTGAAAATAAAAACCACTTAGACTTGATTGAACGCCATTCTGTACAGCGTGGACATGAAACTGAGTAGTTTCGAAATTATTTCATGAAAATTCATCCCAAGAATGGGTTTCAAGGAACCACCTATATTTTCGATCCAAATGTCGAAAGTCTAACATAGAAAACAACTGAATGACGTTCTGGCCAATGATTTCGTGGTCATCCGTTATGATATTCTTTTTGTTTGGTGTGTTTGTCAGTTTAATTCGAATACCGTTAATTATAGATCTTGCTGCTAAGGACAGAGAACGTCAATATTGAAGCTAGTGCCGATTTATATTGTAAATATCAAATGGCCATACACGGCGACCCTCCAAATGAATGTGACGAGGAGCAGTTTCTTGAGTTTCTCGTCAAAACTCCCCTGAAGGTATATTACTCTGCTTTTATGGCTCACTACATTAACAACTAACAACTATTGTATTCGATGGAATTCCATAAATTTCCTTGGAATTCCTTGGAATTCCTTCGGTGAAGTGCTGTATAATTCTGGTCTACAAACAAATGAAAATCCTTGCGTGAAGTCAGAGCTGGGCACTATTTGTATTTTCAAATACTTTTCGCTATTTTAATACCGAGTATTCAAATACTTTCTGGTTCAGGTAATTATATTTATACTTCCAAATATTTGTTGGAATATATTGTTACGTTATTCGGGTGCAGAAGCGAACACGACACTATTTATTTCCGACACGACACTGATTTATTTGAACTAAAAAAACACTAATTTATATCGAACTTATAACTACTAATTATGTAAAACGATTTATATCACGCGGAATATAACTGTCTCTCTGACACTCGCTGCTTAACTGACTGACGCAGTTGTTCGGCCGTCTTATATATAAGATCAATTGGTAGGCTTTGGTTCGAGAACGTTCTCGAATGATCTTCCGTCTCCTTAATAAATATAAGATGAAGAATTATTGAACACCGATATACTGGCACCATTATTTTCGAATGTCTAACAATTTGAAAAAATTAAACACAGGCTAAAAATATAATTTGTTCCATGTAACTTCGAATCAAAACATTCCTTAGTTTTGACTTGACAGGTGTTATTCTAATGTTGTGATTTGTCCTCAGCGTCATTGTCATCAATTGTCATTTGTCGATTTTCATTTGTGATTAGTCATGTAAGATGAGTCCGCAGAGTTATCCCTACCATTCGGAATTTCATTCATTCATCCGTGTTTGACGGCGTTTAGAATTGTTGGCGTATACTTTTTTAATGATTCATGAATGAATCGCGGTGTCCTTTATCTATTGCTATTTAGTATGAGGTGACAAGCGTGTCCTCACTCTTTGAAGGACATGGAATGAGAAGTTCGAGACACTCTAATCTAATTTAACCTGATTTTCTTTCAGCCGAAAGAGTTTCCCAAAGATGTTGATGGTCCTGGTTACGGTTCTTTTCACCAGCAGTACTGGTTGGAAGACAAACTGATAGCTGTGGGTGTTTTGGACATACTGCCGAAATGCGTCAGCTCGGTTTACTTCTTTTACGATCCCGAGTACAGGAGTTTGACGCTGGGAACTTACGGATCTTTGAGGTTCGTTACGAGAAAGAAGATTTAAATTTCATCTCTGTCAATTTTATTGATATTTTTCTTAAGGATCGCTTTCATATGGCCACGGCGGGAACCCCTTTAAAAAAAACCGTCAATTTATGATGTCAACTTTTTGGAAATACCTTTCATATACCATTTAGGTATATGAAATTTCAATAAAAATAATGGTATGCGCTCTCAGGGCACGGGGCACTTCATTCATTGAGAACCCGGTTTTTCATTAATAATTTGACTTTTCGACTATGGACATTGACAACAATTCCAAAACTAGTAGCATCAACAATTTTTTCAACTCAAAAACTTCCAACTAGGCTGAAGATGATCTTTCATAAGACTGAAACATGCCCCTTATGATTATGTAACAACACCATTAAAATTGTATCCACCTATTCATGAATATACAGTGTGTGCGATTTCAACACGCAACAACCTTCTAATTTGGAACTCGACCGATTTTCAAAAACAAGAATGTCAAATGTACCCAACGAGGTCTATTCGAAAATGTGGACAAATCTGAAATATTCAGATTTTCAAATTAAATTAAAATAAAGAAACATCGATTTGACTAAAAAAGATCATCGACTTTTTTTGAATTTTCTATAAGCCAACTTTAAACTTCTTTTAACATTAACATTTCCTTCCTTTGAAAAATTTCACTTCACTTTGAGCAATATGGAGTTCTACCAAAAATACTCTCTGTTGTCAGATTACAAAATGTCACTTATAATTACACAAGAGCTATTTTTGTTCAATTAAACTTGACATTTCAATGAAAATTATGTCGCATGGAAATTAAGTCTTCGTAATTTTTTCGAAGGCAATTTTTTTAGTTAAAATTTCTAATGGCAACAAAACTTGAAGTGTTAAGGTAAGACAATTCAATGAATACGTAAATCATACTATTGGTGATGAGTTTTCCAATTTCTCGCCCGCAGACTCCAAATCGCGATTTTCCACAGATTAGATACTTTTATGACAATGCAAGATTGACAAAATTTGACATAACCTCCATCAAAGATTTGTTCACAATAGGGAAGTGGGCTATTTTTTTAAATTCTCAAATAGAATCATCACTCAAATACCTTTCATTTTCATATTTTTTAAGAATTTTTCGGTCGATTTCAAGGTGACTAAATCATCAATATTGCCACGGTGATTTTTCAAACGGCTAGTAATTTACCGCGAGTAAAAACTGACGTCACGATTTCGCAAGTAGGGGCAGACCATAGCCGTTACCACCGATACAACAAGGCCAGCAGACTCTGACGTAAACAGCTCGTGACGTCGCCAAGTGAGGCCAGTGTTTTATTTTATCGCTTGTCGACTAACGCGTCAGTTCGTGTTAATTCATCGGTGATTCACGTATGTTTTTGAAACGGTCCCGAATTCTTTTGTTGTTTATTCATCAAAATAATTGGCGAAAAAATTACTGTTTTGTGAAATATTTTGTGTTGTGATCGGCGAAATAACAATGCCTTTCGAGTGTTGTGTTCCCTTTTGTCGGGGGAATTATGTGGGTGGTTCAAAAGTTCATGCTTTTAGTTTCCCGTTGGACGAGGAGCTATCGAAAATGTGGGTGAGTATATGCAATTCACCGCGAGGATTTCACTCCATCTAAGTATCTAAGTTCAGTAGTAAACAGAGCTTAATTTATAATGATGAATTAATAATAGAAGACAATTACTCTCTCATAAAAAGTATAAGTAGAGGAAAAATAGGAAAGCTTTGATTGTGCAGTTAGTTTTGTATTCGTATATTATAGTCAACAAAATCATCTCTGAATTCGAGGAAATTTTCTTGAATGTTCATAATAAACGGGCATTTTTAATTCTCATTCTCAAATTTCTTTCTGAAAACGGTCATTTGCCTCGTGCCAATGAATGCAGAATTCATTCCAATGATTAAATTGCAACTATCATATTAACATGAACTACAAACACACTACTCAAAAAAGGTAAAACTGAATTTATCATGATATTTATCATGAAGATATTTGACTGAAAAGTTCCAAATTTCACCTTCTTTTTAACCTGTCTTCTGGATGGCATTTAGAACAAATTTCTCTTCTTTTTTCATCATATTGGACAATTTATATATAATTCAACTATAAATATGATTTTCTTGAGATTAATCCATATTTTGTGAAAAGAAGGAAGAATATCATTCAAAATAATGGCGTGTGTAATGTCATTCGAAAGCAATCTATTGACATTTGACATCTCGTATTTTGATTGACTATTGATTAAATGGTCGTCATCTGGAATGCTTGTTCCCTAAATATGGAAAACTCGCCATAAAAATCATATTTCCTGTTGAATTTTCTATATAAAAATGTGCCATCGAAGTATATAAAGTGTCCAATGACAAAATAAGAGCAAGTAGCTTCAAATGCCCCCAACACAAGGGGAGAAAGAAGGCGAAATTTCGAACTTTTTCTTGAAATATCTCAATAAATAGTGGTTTGTTCAAATTTTCATTATAAAATTCGGTTTATCAGACAAAAATACGTGAGTAGGTACCGAAAAAAATTTTCAAAAAAAAACATCGCATGATAAATGCAGTTTTACCCTTAAAAATTACGGTTTCAAGTGTAACGATCCACTTTGGTGAAAAATCCAACAGCAGAAAATTGAAAACACTCACTGGTTATTTTTTCAGGTAATAGGAATTCTCCAAGATAAATATAGGTAATTGTAACAAACGGCATGTCAATCAAAATAAAATACATTTTCCACAATTTTCTTTCGATCAATCTCACGATAAGTTTATGTTCTGCGGGCCCTGTATAAGTAGGTGTGAAGTTTACCTTCACCACAATTTTTGTCAATATATTTAATTCGAATGGGTTGCTGTAGGTGGATATTTGTTTTATCCTGGTTTTTGATTTAAAACTTCGTTTTTCCATAATAAAATCGAATGGGGTGCGAAGAAGGGCTCAGTTGACGACTGGTATCCTTTTTTAACCGGAAGCCCTTCGAAAAACAGCACAATCGGCTCAATGATGATCTATAACTAAAATCGAAATACGCGATCGCCTTGTTGTATCGGTGGTAACGCCATAGCACAGTTGCCATGTTGTGTTGAAATACGATTGGGATCTTCAGAAATATTCTCCATTCAATAATTCATAAATTATAAATTATGTATTGGTAATATTCCTAATTAGCAATAAAAAATTAATTGTCTCATAAGTTTCCTTATGTGTTGTGGCTTATCGCTTATAATTTGTGTAAATAATAATTATAGTGATTGACACATACGAACTAGTAAACAGGAGAAGATTAAAACTGAGTTTTAATCTTCTCCTGAAGATGCTAACATAGTTAGCAAAACACGTGTCGAGGTGTGAAAAATCGGTTTGGTTTGTGATAAAACAGTGTAGTGGAATATTCCTCTACTAAACCATATTTCCTACATTTCTAGAATCGCGAAAATCCAGGACCGTTCTTGAAAAATTTCGATAGTTTAGTTTTCATCAAAAAGTTCATCCTGTATATGGTTTTTGAAAACTGAGACAGGAAATTTTTGAAGCACACAAACGAGCGTCAAAAATAAATGATTCAAAATTCTCCTAAGACTTTTACAGAATTTTTCAAAAAACGATAAATTATAAGGAAAAACGAAAGTTTTACAACAAATTTATTCATTCGATGAGAATAACTTCGCAATCCGTAAAAGTGAGACTCACACTTTCAATACATTAGCCCAATGGAAATCAACATGTTCTTTCATGTCCAGGTCTAGTTTTCGTGATTTCATTTTTTGTGGAGGGTAATAATCACCCTGTAGATCTTTTTCGAATCAGTGGATGGTGTATCTGTTTAGATGTTAACGGTCATCGATTCAAATGATTCAAGATAGTCGAACACAAAATGTAGGTTTATCCCATGTTTATCCACAATTATTTTTCAAAGCTATACTGACAAAGACGGATAATGATTTTAAACTGCTGATCAATCGAACCGCATCAAGCACATTTTTGTTCTAAATTCAACATTGAATATTTTCGCGAAAATTCCACTTATTTGGATGCGGTTTTCTTCATTCTGAAGATTGATCCGTTGAGTTTATGACAGATAGACCGCTGATGAAAATACATGGTAACATCTGGCTATACAGGGAGACAAACAAACCTCTGCAAGATATTGAAAAAATCTCCATACTCCCAATTCGATGGAAAAGTTTTGATTCTTTTTTCAAGCATGTTTTCATAATCCTCAAGCATATTTCTCGAAACGATTTCGCAATTTTTCTCGTCTTTCCAGATTTCCGAGAAAAAGATTTTTTTTTGAAAAATGTGATAATTTGTACTACTGACCAGAAATATTCTTATTTGTAGCTCAAATACCACAGATTGTCTCTTGGATGAGCTATTGTATCCATTATTGTATAAAATCTTATATTTTTTATATACAGAGTGTTTGGCAACAATATTTGATAGATATTATTACAGGAAGACCGAGCACAACACATTGATCAACTTGTATAGTGTTCGAGATTGAATGACAGCAACTTTCCTCGAAGTTGCAGAAAAAAAAACGGGAGAAAGAATATACAGGGTGATATACCAAGATTGATGGAAGTTTTACACAATGAAACTTTGGGAGTTCAAAAATGTATGTGATAAATCAATGAATTTTTACTCATCTCTCTTACTCTCACTCATCATTGAAATGTTGCTCTGTGTAGAATATACGTGGTGATACAAATGAGAATATTTCTGGTCAGTAGCACAAATTATCACATTTTTCGAAAAAAAATCTTCTTCTCGAAAATCTGGAAAGATACGAGAAAAATTGCGAAACCATTTCGAGAAATAAGCTTGAGAATTATGGAAATTATGCTTGAAAAAATCTCAACAATTTTTCATCGAATTGGGAGTATGGAGAATTTTTCAATATCTTGCAGAGGTTTGTGTGTCACCCTGTATAGCCAGAGGTTATCATGTATTTCCATCATCGGTCTATCTGTCATATACCCAATGGATCAATCTTCAGAATAAAGAAAACCGCATCCAAATAAGTGGAATTTTCGCAAAACTATTCAATGTTGAATTTAGAGCAAAAATGGGCTTGATGCGGTTCGATTGATCAGCAGTTTAGTACGGAAAATAAGGAAACAAATCAACTGAATAAAACAAATCGAAAATATGAAACTGAATTATAAATATATTCATACCGATGGCCATCAACATTTTCATAGATACCCCATCCACTGATTCGAAAAAGATCTACAGGGTGATTATTATCCTCCACTAAAAATTGAATTACTAAATCCAGGCCTGAAAATCAAATAATATGTTGTTTTCCATCGAACTGAAGCATGTTGAATGTGAATCTAACTTTTATTCGTGAAATTTATGAGTTGCGAAGTATCAATTTTCACTTATAATACCACGAGAACTTCAATTATATCCGGAAATTTTTTCGAGAACACGAATATTTTGAAAATTCTCCCGAGTTGAAGACGAGGAAGCTTGTTATACGACGCTATACATAGTGGAGTATACTACGGCCGTGCCAAAAATGCTATCTCGGAAACTAAGCGAGATAGAGGTATAGTTGCTTTGGAGAAAATGATCCCCATCGAATTTTGAGCAACTTTGGTTTTTGTGTGTGGTCTGTCTGTCTGTCTGTCTGTACTCTGTGTTAATCATAAATCGATATATCTCCGGAACCCTTTGACATATCGACTTGAAATTTTGCCATCTTATTGTACTCAAAACAATATTATGTCATTAAAATATGAAGGAAATCGGAAAACTCAAGGTGGTTTTTCCGGGTTTTTTCGATTTTTCACCGGAAGTTCCTTGTAACCACTCTACAAATCGCAAAAGTGGTCCGATCGATTTCATTTTTTGTGAAAAAAACCTCTATCAGGAAGAGACGAAGCCTATTGAAATTGAGCAGGGTCGGAAAATTCCAAGTGGGTTTTTCAAGGAGATTTTCCGAAAAACACGGTTCGCTTTAAAACGACATATCTCGTGAACAAATAGACTAAATCCAAATTTGAGAAATGCACCGTATGCCTCTTTGATGACGCAACAAATTATTATTTAACTATTTTTCCGTGCATCCATCGGAAAATGGAAAAACAAATGAAAATCAAAACATCAAAATTTGAAATCCTTTCAATTCAATATATATCGAAAACAAATGGAAAAATCGAAAATTATCAGAAGTGCAAAGTTATCCACTGGAACATTTCCTACAAACTATTTCTCATAATTTCTTCTGTAAACCCAATAGTACAGGAAATAAAGTGAAAAATATGAAAAAAAAAATTTGAACGACCCATAGGGTACTATGAATATATATTGAAAAACAAAGATTATCGATAGATGAAGCTTATCCACTTCCACTGAACCATAAAATATTTTTTCATTTTGTTGATTTGAAGATGGAACAAAAGTGTTGAAAATTTTATTCTCAGATAATTCCAAATATCTCGAAAACAACTGGAAATATCTGAAAATGTTATAAAACCAAAATTATTCCTTTTGATAAAATCTACAAAAAATCTTTATAACATTTTTCTCTGAATTCAATAGTTCGGGAGATACGATGGAAAAACTAAGAAATTTACAAGTTCCTAGATAATCACTTGCCAATAGAAAACGAAACAAGAAACAAAGAAAGTAAAAAAAGCACACTCGACTGTCTTGATTTTTTTCCCATAAACTACGTACCTAGCTCACTTTACTGTCTTTATTTTTGCCAATAAACTAGGTACGGGCTAAGTACGTAGTTTGTACGAAAAATCTCCAGTTCTCTGAACTTTCATAGCGTCGTATACACATCATTGGTGCCCAATGATAGTTTCAATATAAAAATATGCTCATGATATGGTGCCATGGCCTCTACTTCCATCTTACATGAGCAATGATAAAATATTATCTGATTTTTTAACGTCGTATGAATTATCTGACCTTTATACTAATCTGATACCTTTCAAAAACTACGTACCCCACTTGTTAAAAATATGGTTTGTGGAATTTTAAAGTTAAGCTGAGTATCGTTGCAACAAACATAAAGCTTGTGATTCCCTAAGAAAAATAAAATCCGAGTTAATTTCACAAATATGCTTGAATTTGAAAAAAAATTACGAATTGGGAAATTAACGAAAAAAAAAAAATTATAAACTGAAAAATGTCTTAGGAGGCCATGTTTTGGTATTTAGGCATAACTTTCAATGGTATACAATTTTTCTCAATAACATTTTGATGAATATTCTGAAATAAGGGCACTCTTGAGCAATTTTAATATTTTTTGACCTACCCTGTGTGCTGTTTGACTTGCAACCATTTCAAGTGCACCCAAAATGATCACCGAACATGCGCCAACTTTCGGCACTATCTGTATTTTGGTTGTGAAATTCATTAAAACGATTCCTATATGTTGCACACTTAAATGACCACACTGTATAGTAAAGAAGTGCAGTTTGTTTGACAGTGAAATATCGTATTCCAGGGAAATAGAACTGACAAGATCCCTCAGCGAAACCCTCCCAGAGCTCAACAGCTACTACATGGGCTTCTACATCCACTCCTGCCCCAAAATGCGCTACAAGGGCAAACTTTCGCCATCCTTTCTTCTTTGCCCGGAAACCTACGAATGGATGACAATCGAGAAATGCCTAGCGATTTTGGACGAAAAAAAATACGCTAGACTCAACGAGAATTTAGACGCCTTGGATGAGGGTTTTCCTAGTCAGGAGGATATTTTGCAAATTAGGGTTATTTATGATGGTGTATTCATGCATTTCAAGGATTACAAAAGGATGTGCGACGAACCAGGGTTGTTTAAGGAAATTGCGGGTTTGGTAGGAAAACGTTGTTGTAGGAGCCTCGTTTTTTGGGAAAATTTGAAATAATAGGTACCTAAATGTCGTGAACTTCGTTTTCCAGACTTTCCGTGTGGAATTGCACCGGGCTTTATCGTTGTGAATGGAAACCTAGTAGGCGAGGTATAATACTGTCTGTTCAGTGACCCGAAATATTCCTGCTTGTCAATAACGGTGGTTTACTGAAAAATGTCAATAGCTTTTTTGTTTTACTTCGATATTTGTCAGTAAGGAAAATTCTATAGATTAAAAATTGTTCCTACAATGGCGAATAATGATCCAGGATTTAAAAACTACAAACAATTGGATATGGTTGGGAAATATGTGTTAGTTTCCTGTCCCAAAATGCGCTACAACGGCAACCTCTCGCTATCTTTTCTTCTTTACCCGGAAACCTATGAATGGATGACAACAATCGAAAAATGCCTAACGATTTTGGACGAAAAAAAGAAAACGCAAGACTCGACCAGAATTCCGACACTTTGGATGAGGGTTTTCCTAGTCAGGAAGATTTTTTGCAAATTAGGGTTATTTATTATGGTATATTCGTGCATTTCAAGGATAACAAAAGGGTGTGCGACGAACCAGGGTGTTTAAGGAAATTGTGAATTTGGTAGGAAAACGTTGTTGTAGGAGCCTCGTTTTTTGGAAAAATTTGAAATAATAGGTAGGTACCTACCCTAATGTCGGAAACTTCGTATTTCAGACTTTCCGCGTGGAATTGCACCGGGCTTTGTCGTTGTGAATGGAAACCTAGTAGGCGAGGTATAATACTGTCTGGTCAGTGACCCGAATATTCCTGCTCGCCAATAGCGGTGGTTTACTGAAAAATATCAATAGCTTTTTTGTTTTAATTCGATATTTGTCAGTAAGGAAAATTCTATAGATTAAAAATTGTTCCTACAATGGCGAAAAACGATCAAGGATATACAAACTAAAAAAAAATTGGGTATGGTTGGGAGGTAAGAGTTAGTTTCCTTTCCCAAAATGCACGCTACAAAGACAAACTCTGGCTATTTTTTCTTCTTTACTCGGAAACCTATGAATGGATGACAACAATCGAAAAATGTCTAGCTATTTTGGACGAAAAAAAGAAAACGCAAGACTCAACCAGGAATTTCGACACTTTGGATGAGGGTTTTCCTAGTCAGGAGGATATTTTGCAAATTAGGGTTATTTATGATGGTGTATTTATGCATTTCAAGGATTACAAAAGGATGTGCGACGAACCAGGGTTGTTTAAGGAAATTGCGGGTTTGGTAGGACAACGTTGTTGTAGGAGCCTCGTTTTTTGGGAAAATTTGAAATAATAGGTACCTAAATGTCGCGAACTTTGTTTTCCAGACTTTCCGCGTGGAATTGATCGTTGTGAATGGAAACCTAGTAGGCGAGGTATAATACTGCCTGTTCAGTGACCTGAAATATTCCTGCTTGTCAATAGCGGTGGTTTACTGAAAAATGTCAATAGCTCTTTTGTTTTACTTGGATATTTGTCAGTAAGGAAAATTCTATAGATTAAAAATTGTTCGTACAATGGCGAATAACGATCCAGGATTTAAAAACTACAAACAATTGGATATGGTTGGGAGATATGTGTTAGTTTCCTGTCCCAAAATGCGCTACAAAGGCAAACTCTCGCGATCTTTTCTTCTTCACCCGGAAACCTATGAATGGATGACAACAATCGAAAAATGCCTAGCTATTTTGGACGAAAAAAACAAAACGCAAGACTCAACAAGGAATTTCGACACTTTGGATGAGGGTTTTCCTAGTCAGGAAGATATTTCGCAAATTAGGGTCATTTATGATAGTATATCCATGCATTTCAAGGATTACAGAAGGGTGTGCGACGAACCAGGGTTGTTTAAGGAAATTGCGGGTTTGGTAGGAAGACGTTGTTGTAGGAGCCTCGTGTTTTGGGAAAATTTGAAATAATAGGTACCTAAATGTCGCGAACTTCGTTTTCCAGACTTTCCGCGTGGAATTGCACCGGGCTTTATCGTTCTGAATGGAAACCTAGTAGGCGAGGTATAATACTGTCTGTTCAGTGACCCGAAATATTCCTGTTTGTCAATAGCGGTGGTTTACTGAAAAATGCCAATAGCTTTTTTGTTTTACTTAGATATTTGTCAGTAAGGAAAATTCTATAGATTGAAAATTGTTCGTACAATGGCGAATAACGATCCAGGATATACAAACTAAAAAAATTGGATATGGTTGGGAGATATGAGTTAGTTTCCTTTCCCAAAATGCGCTACAAAGACAAACTCTCGCTATCTCTTCTACTTTACCTGGAAACCTATGAATGGATGACAACAATCGAAAAATGCCTAACGATTTTGGACGAAAAAAAGAAAACGCAAGACTCGACCAGAATTCCGACACTTTGGATGAGGGTTTTCCTAGTCAGGAAGATTTTTTGCAAATTAGGGTTATTTATTATGGTATATTCGTGCATTTCAAGGATAACAAAAGGGTGTGCGACGAACCAGGGTGTTTAAGGAAATTGTGAATTTGGTAGGAAAACGTTGTTGTAGGAGCCTCGTTTTTTGGGAAAATTTGAAATAATAGGTACCTACCCTAATGTCGGAAACTTCGTATTTCAGACTTTCCGCGTGGAATTGCACCGGGCTTTGTCGTTGTGAATGGAAACCTAGTAGGCGAGGTATAATACTGTCTGGTCAGTGACCCGAATATTCCTGCTCGCCAATAGCGGTGGTTTACTGAAAAATATCAATAGCTTTTTTGTTTTAATTCGATATTTGTCAGTAAGGAAAATTCTATAGATTAAAAATTGTTCCTACAATGGCGAAAAACGATCAAGGATATACAAACTAAAAAAAAATTGGGTATGGTTGGGAGGTAAGAGTTAGTTTCCTTTCCCAAAATGCACGCTACAAAGACAAACTCTGGCTATTTTTTCTTCTTTACTCGGAAACCTATGAATGGATGACAACAATCGAAAAATGCCTAGCTATTTTGGACGAAAAAAAGAAAACGCAAGACTCAACCAGAATTCCGACACTTTGGATGAGGGTTTTCCTAGTCAGGAAGATATTTCGCAAATTAGGGTTATTTATGATGGTATATTTATGCATTTCAAGGATTACAAAAGGATGTGCGACGAACCAGGGTTGTTTAAGGAAATTGCGGGTTTGGTAGGAAAACGTTGTTGTAGGAGCCTGGTTTTTTGGGAAAATTTGAAATAATAGGTACCTAGATGTCGGAAACTTCGTTTTTCAGACTTTCCGCGTGGAATTGCACCGGGCTTTATCGTTGTGAATGGAAACCTAGTAGGGGAGGTATAATACTGTCTGTTCAGTGACCCGAAAAATTCCTGCTTGTCAGTGGCGCTCTTTTGTTTTACTAGGATATTTGTCAGTAAGGAAAATTCTATACGTGTGTCCCACTTACCATGCTCACCATGGGTATCTCTTTAACGGTGAGAGATACGAGGTCGGTTAAATGACACCAAATGTGGAGTTTGTCAAGGCCAACTATAATGTGAAAACATATTTTGATCAAATCTATTCGTTTTTGTTTTATACGCAAAAAACAGATTTTGATCATTTTCATGTCTCCTCCGTCACTTATTCTTTATTTATGAAAATATTCAAATAGGAATTTCACATTCTCATGGCAGTTTTTCAAAGTGATTTCGAAAAACATATGAAATTTATACTAATTCTTCTAGAATTTGAGATATCAGCACCAACTTTAGATTTTCAAATGTAGGTCATAGCTCACTATGACTTAGTTACGAATAACTTTTTTTTTCTCTTACAGATGATATGTCGCAGTAATCATTTTGTGTTGATAACAACGGGGTTATTATCGTCATTCGTACAAAAACAAAAAATTATTTGGAAGCCGCCATCTTGAATTTATAAATTTTAACAAAAAAATCATGATCTCCGACCTCAAGAACCCCCACTCACCAATTTTGAATGGAATCGGACCAAATCTTGTCCACAATACATTATGGAATTTTTGTTGAAATTAAAAAAATGGCTGCTCCAAGATGGCGGACAAGATTTGGTCCGATTCCATTCAAAACAGGTAAGTGGGGGTTTTTGATGTCGGAGATCATGATTTTTAAATTTTTTGTTTTTGTATAAATGACGATAACTCCGTTGTTATCAACACAAAACTATTACTGCGACATATCATCTGTAAGAGAATAAAAAGTTATTCGTAACTAAGTCATAGTGAGCTATGATCTACATTTGAAAAACTAAAGTTGGTGCTGATATCTCAAATTCTAGAAGAGTTGGTATACATTTCATATTTTTTTCGAAATCACTTGGAAAAACTGCTATGAGAATGTGAAATTCCTATTTGAATATTTTCATAAATAAAGAAGTTACGGAGGAGACATGAAAATGGTCAAAATCTGATTTTTGCGTATAAAACAAAAACGAATAGATTTGATCAAAATATTTTTTCACATTATAGTTGGCCTTGACAAACACCACATTTGGTGTCATTTAACCGACCTCGTATCTCTCACCGTTAAAAAGATACCCATGGTGAGCATAGCAAGTGGGACACACTGTAGATTAAAAATTGCGTAAAATGGCGAATAACGATCCAGGATTTAAAAACTACCAACAATTGGATAAGGTTGGGAAATATGTGTTGGTTTCCTGTCCCAAAATGCGCTACAAAGGCAAACTCGCTATCTTTTCTTCTTTACCCGGAAACCTATGAATGGATGACAACAATCGAAAAATGCCTAACGATTTTGGACGAAAAAAAGAAAACGCAAGACTCGACCAGAATTCCGACACTTTGGATGGTTTTTATTTATGATGGTATATTCATGCATTTCAAGGATTACAAAAGGGTGTGCGACGAACCAGGGTGTTTAAGGAAATTGTGAATTTGGTAGGAAAACGTTGTTGTAGGAGCCTCGTTTTTCGGGAAAATTTGTAATAATAGGTACCTGTATATCGGAAACTTCGTTTTTCAGACTTTCCGCGTGGAATTGCACCGGGCTTTATCGTTGTGAATGGAAACCTAGTAGGCGAGGTATAATACTGTCTGTTCAGTGACCTGAAATATTCCTGCTTGTAAATAGCGGTGGTTCACTGACAAATATCAATAGCTTTTTTGTTTTACTTCGATATTTGTCAGTAAGGAAAATTCTATAGATTAAAAATTGTTCGTACAATGGCGAATAACGATCCAGGATATACAAACTAAAAAAAATTGGATATGGTTGGGAGGTATGAGTTAGTTTCCTGGCCCAAAATGCACTACAAAGGCAAACTCACGAATGTATTGGAATCGAAAAATGCCTGAAGATTTTGGACAAGAAGAAGAACGAGCGTTAAAGTACTTTTTTATCTCTTTTAGTTCTCGAAATATTCAGATCAAATTTGAAACAAAAGTTACCGTCTCAGGATTCACATCATACAGTATGCCGAGTGGAAGAGTGATTGTAAGATTCTACAGGGAGACATTTTTTTCACGGGTAAAGCCCTTTTTCACTAATCACATAAACTTTTTTTGTAGAAAATATCAATCATATCGAGCGAATGACAAAAAAATATTTTAGGTTTGTCTTTCGATATGGCTGCAGATGCGTGAAAATCACAAGAGACAGAAAGTTCATGAGCACTTCTATTTTTGACGGTAAATAAAATTTTAAACAGCCTTGCTTGGGGGTTAACATCAAATCGACTGATACATTTCGAGTAAATTCCCGGAGAAATACGATAAATATATTCAATGGGGTACATTTGGTTTCATTCCGAAATATTACAATTAGATGTACTTCGGAACATGTCATCCGGTAGATAGAGAGAGAAAGAGATAGAGAGAGAAAGACATAGAATAAAGAAAGAATTATATCCAAGATCAATTTTCGGGTTGTACAAACTCAATTATATTAAATCGCCTTTAGTTTTCCATTCATGCCTTGAATTGCACTTTTATTGTGTTGAAATATGTGTGATGTTTTCTGTAATAATTTATTGCTGTACTTTGAAGTTATACATACAATATTATAATATTTGACTTTATGTCCTATTTTTGCCACTGTATCAGTCTTGAAAATCTGATCACGAATTATCTTGTGATATTGATCTCACTATTGATTTTGTTGTTGAAGCAATTAATCAATTAAATAACCTCAAATTTATGCTTATATGTTCTAATGGTTGAGGATTGAGGTTCAGTTCATTGTTAAAGATCCTTGTGGTCACTTTTGTCATGGAATTTTGTCTTAAAATTGTGAAATATTTGTTAATCAATAATAATAATATAATATTGAAATTAATTTAATTACCTCCATAATGCCATTTACGATAATAACACAATTATATTTATAGCAATGTTAATCGAGGAGGTGAAATATTTATACTTATATTTTTTGTGATTTTGTTTTCTCGTTAAAAAAAATAAAATTTGAGTTTTATTTCAATATATCTTGTACTAGTGGAAAATCAGAAGAATTTTTCCCATTATGTAACTGCATATGAAATTTCACTACCTATTGGAAATTTTGGAGGAGACATTTAGTCAATATTCAGTGACACTTTGTTGTTCAACATATTTGAAGACGAATAAAGGTATATTGAAAATTATAAAATTCTACTTCTTTTTGACTTTGCCGTCCATGAAATAAAAATGGAGGAACATGAAACAATTTGGAGCGTGTTGCATTGAATAATTTATGGGATATATATTTTTTTCTTATCAGTGTAAATAACTACTCCGTCAATGTTTTCGACTCGGAATGATCGGAAATGAGTGGGACTGATGGTATTTCCTCTTTGAAATTTCGAAACAACATTGATAATTGCGCTAAAACTAGGAATAAACCATAAGCCTCAACTCGACGGCTTAATCTCGCGGGGACTGCCAAGGAAGGAACAATTGTTGATATTTCAGAAGTGCATCGTTCCTGAAAATATCTATAAAATAAAGCCAGATCGCCAACTTTTCTACGGTGTTCCAGAGAAGTGAGTGAGTTTGTGAGCGAGGCATCACCCACGAGACGAATTGCCCTTTCTTGGACAGAATCAAACAGTTTCGGGGTATGTTTGGGTGCTGCACTCCAAATATGGGAACAGTATTCCAGGACAGGTCGGATCTGTGCCTTATAGATCATAAGCAGCTGACTGGAAGTGAAATAGTTCCTGGCCCGCAACATAAAACCAAGTTTTTGGGATGCATTTTTAGCAATTGATCTCAGGTGATTTTCCCAAGAAAGGTAATTGCTGATAGTAAAACCAAGCATCGAAATGGATGTCTTCAAAGGTATGGTTACTCCTGACATGCTTATGTTGGGCACAGTATATGTGATCGGCTTTTCTAGAGAAAAGGCATGCTTGTTTTGTTTGCATTGAAATGTACCAAGTTATTGGATCCCCATTGGAGAATTGTTGGCAAGTCCATATTCATGTAGCCAACATTTCTTCCTCGTTAGTTTCTCATTCGTCTGGCTGGTATTGGAGCCCTGAAAGAGAAGGCGGTATGGAGGGTACTATCATCTGCGAAGCCGTGTACTGGCCATAAAGTTGCTTCTAGCAAATCGTTGATATGGAGTAGAAATAGTGTTGGTGCTAGAATTGATGCTTGCTGAACACCAGCATTCATGAAAAGAGAGTCAGATGAAACTCCGTCGATCACTACATGGAGAGACCTGTTTGAGAGAAAACTAGCTAGCAGAGAACATAGCTGGAGAGGCAAGCCATAAGATGGAAGCTTGGCGAGGAGTCCGTGGTGCCAGACTCGATCGAATGCCTTGGAGATATCAAGTGCCACGGCTAACGTTTCACCATATTTTGCTGCCATATATGTGAGACGTGAGCGAGCAGGTCACCGTTGATCTCTGATGACGGAAGCCATATTGCCTATCCGTCGGAACCACAAGGTTTGGTTTGGTGTTGAGACCCAACAAAAACTTCCTTGGCGAAAGGTGATCTCGGGCATATGAATGTCAATTGGCGTTATGTTTGAAGGTTGTTTCCCGACGAATCCAGAGTGGAATTTCCAGCAAATGAATGCGCGAAAATGTTGGCTTTCTCCTGGGCAGTTGTGGCTAGAATTCCATCTTCCTGAGTTAGAGGAGGAAACGAGCTGGAAGTAAAGTTTCTTCCTATAGCTTTGGCGAAGGACCAAAAGGAACGGGATCAACAAGTTTTGATCTTATTTTGGCATTATGAGCATCCTTTGATGATCGAATTGTCTCATTGCATATGCCTCTAGCCTCGACATATTCTGCTCTAGTCTCAGGAGCGGGATTCATCTGCCATCGATGGAATGCTGCCTGTTTGGAACCCACAGCTCTAGAGCAGTTTCTACTGAACCAGGCCTTATCGGAAGATATTATTATTCTCCTTGCAGGGTTCGGTATGTAGGTTTGCATCCTCAACATGATGATTTCAGAAATTGTCTCAGCACATCGTGTTGGATCTTGCAAAGGGAAAGATCAGGTTATGGAGATGAGGGTGTGGTCAGAGTTTCCAAGCGGGGCACAAACTTCTATTCTATATATGGGTCAGGATTGCTGGTGAGAAAAAGATCTAGTGTATTGGCAGACTAGACCATGAGTGATGGCGAAGGCCTCAGTTTGACGACCTGCATCATCTGTTTTGTTAGAGAATTTGAGCCAGGCTGCGTTGTGTAAATTGAAGTCTCCCATATACCCATTCCTCAAACTGTGCCCATATGATTTCGATTTCAGCTGTTGGATGGTTCTCCTGAATGAAATCCAGTTTGAGTGATAAAAACTCAAAGAGGTTGTAAAATTCATCATTAGGCGATAGGTAAAGGCAGCAGATAAATTTGGTCAGTTTGGTATCGACTAGCTTGAACCACATTACATCAAAGTCTTTCGGTTCCAAACTCTCTACACGCTGGCATGAAAAAGGTTAGCCTTAGCGAAGAGACATACTCCACTTTGAACCGGAATCGAGAAGTTCGTAACCAGGACAGAGCATGTGCACCTTGTTGGTGGACGAGTTCACTTGAGTTCCTGTTAGCGCCACAATATCTGGTTATTCCGTTTGTAGATGATGGTGGACGTCATTGTTGTTTTTGTTGAGTCCGCGGATGTTGCAAAATTTGATCTTCAGAGATGAATCCGCTCGCGAGTACGTCCGTTACCACCGATAAAACAAGGCCTGCATGCTCCGTGGGTGACGTCATTTAGTGAGGCCTAACCAGCGGCTCGAAACGACAAGCGCTTATAGCGCTATAAGGCGACCGCGTATTTCGATTTTAGTATTAGATCATCATTGAGCCGATTTTGCTGTTTTTTGAAGGGTTTCCGGTTAAAAAAGGATGCCAGTCGTCAACTGAGCCCTTCTTCGCACCCCATTCGATTTTATTATGGAAAAACGAAGTTTTAAAGCAAAAACCAGGATAAAACATAAATATTCACCTACAGCAACCCATTCGAATTAAATATATTGGCAAAAATTGTGGTGAAGGTAAACTTCACACCTACTTATACAGGGCCCGCAGAACATAAACTTATCGTGAGATTGATCGAAAGAAAATTGTGGAAAATGTATTTCATTTTGATTGACATGCCGTTTGTTACAATTACCTATATTCATCTTGGAGAATTCCTATTACCTGAAAAAAATAACCAGTGAGTGTTTTCAATTTTCTGTTGGATTTTTCACCCAAGTGGATTGTTACACTTGAAACCGTAATTTTTAAGGGTAAAACTGCATTTATCATGCGATGGTTTTTTTTTTGAAAATTTTTTTCGGTACTCACGTATTTTTGTCTGATAAACCGAATTTTATAATGATAATGTGAACAAACCACTATTTGTTAAGATATTTCAAGAAAAAGTTCGAAATTTCGCCTTCTTTCTCCCCTTGTGTTGGGGGCATTTGAAGCTACTTGCTCTTATTTTGTCATTGGACACTTTATATACTCATGATGTACTTCGATGGCACATTTTTATATAGAAAATTCAACAGGAAATATGATTTTTATGGCGAGTTTTTCATATTTAGTGAACAAGCATTCCAGATGACGACCATTTAATCAATAGTCAATCAAAATACGAGATGTCAAATGTCAATAGATTGCTTTCGAATGACATTACACACGCCATTATTTTGAATGATATTCTTTCTTCTTTTCACCAAATATGTATTAATCTCAAGAAAATCATATTTATAGTTGAATTATATATAAAATGTCCAATATGATGAAAAAAGAAGGGAAATTTGTTCCAAATGCCATCCAGAAGACAGATGAAAAAGAAGGTGAAATTTGGAACTTTTTAGTCAAATATCTTCATGATAAATATCATGATAAATGGAGTTTTACCTTTTTAAGTAGAATGTTTGTAGTTCATGTTGATATGATAGTTGCAATTTGATCATTGGAATGAATTCTGCATTCATTGCCACGAGGCAAATGACCGTTTTCAGAAAGAAATTTGAGAATGAGAATTAAAAATGCCCGTTTATTTTGAATATTCAAGAAAATTTCCTCGAATTCAGAGATTATTTTGTTGACTATAATATACGAATACAAAACTAACTGCACAATCAAAGCTTTTCTATTTTTCCTCTACTTATACTTTTTATGAGAGAGTAATTGTCTTCTATTATTAGTTCATCATTATAAATTAATCTGTTTACTACTGAACTTAGATGAAGTAAAATCCTCGCAGTGAATTGCATATACCCACATTTTCGATAGCTCCTCGTCCAACGGGAAACTAAAAGCATGAACTTTTGAACTACCCACATAATTCCCCCGACAAAAGGGAACACATTACTTGAAAGGCATTGTTATTTCGCCGATCACAACACAAAAGAATTCGGGTCCGTTTCAAAAACATACGTAAATCACCGATGAATTAACACGAACTGACGCGTAAGTCGACAAGCGATGAAATAAAACACTGGCCTCTTTTGGTGACGTCACGAGCTGTTTACGTCAGAGTCTGCTGGCCTTGTTGTATCGGTGGTAACGGTACGTCTCGCGCGGAAATCCGAATGGAGAGGTATTTTACTCCCGGAGTGTTTTACTCAAGGAGACTTCATCATCTTTATTCATAGAGAAGAGAATTTGGGGAAAAGGGGGGGGACCGGAAAGTTTCGACCGAACACTGAAACATGGAGTAATTTCACAGCACACAAAGTCGATATGGTGGTATTTCCCTGGGCGATGAGACCATCTACCATCTGAAGTTATCTTTTCAGTCGCCTTTTACGACAGGCAGGATTAACCATGGGGGGTTATTCTGAGCCGCCCCCATATACGGACTTAGAAGTGCTACAGCGGCAATCAATTTTAATGCACCTTTCATGGGAGCGATCAGCTTTCAACGTATCCCACTGAACATATTTCAGTCAAAGAAATGTCTTACGGATTTCTGAAACCTTTCCACTCTTGAGTCTCTCTGAAGTTTCAGAAACGTTACAGGAAATGTATTTACATTTCCAACCTCAGTGAAGTTTCATGGAACGTTTCAACAACATTCGTCCCAGACATATGTTTCAAGATAACCGTTCGAACACGTTTCAACAAAACTGTTCTGAACACGTTTCAAATAATGGTTTCCAACTTTGTATCAAGTTTTATCAACTTTCCAAAGAAAGTGGAT